TGCCCCTCAGGGGTTAGCAGCAGCTCACCACTGCTGAGTCCCAGCATGCCTTGCGCTGCCACGGCCTGAGTGTGCACGTCGGAGTGCCTGCTGGGGCTACCCACCCTCAGCAGGTACAGGCACCTCCCGCGCCCTGCGGCAAGGTTCGGCTCCGGCCTGGGTGTGGAGGGTGAGGGGGCGGTGCTTGAGGCGGAGCCCGCCGGGCCGCTTCACATCTCACTTCCTACGCGCCGTGCTGGGGGGCGGAGCCTCGGGAAGAGGCGAGGCAGGGCGGGGGGGAAATCTCAGAGGGGCAGTGTCGGCCCGAAAGAGGCAGTGGCAAGTGGGGAGGACCGGGACTGGGGTCGGCGCAGAGCCGGAGCCATGGTGGCAGCGGCGGAGAGAGGTAAGAGCCGGGCGGTATAGACACCTCTCCTCAGAACCGGGGGGAGTGCTGCACCAGGTGACTGCAGTGGTATCGGGTGACCAGCCCCCTCACATGATTGAGGTGTCACCTGACTGTTTCGCCAGAGCTGGGTCGGGTGCTTCTGCTTGCCCCTGGGCGTTGTGCACAGTCTTCCCTTCCCCAGTCCCTCGCTGGGACCTTGGACACCCCGCCCTTAGGGAGGAGTTCGGGGACCCCAGTTCCCCGGGGTCAGGCCTGCTGCTGCAGGGCCTGGGGACCCTGTTCTCTGGGCCCGTCTCCGCAGTGTATGGTGCTCTAATTCCCTTCCCTTTGCACTGTGGGCCATGCCAGCCTACTGCTGAATCCAGGAACCTTTAGGATTAGTGTGTTACTATGTGTATTATGGCAGCGCCTAGGAGCCCCACTCATGGAGCAAGACCCTGTTGTGCTAGGCACTGTACAAACACAGAACAACTCTGTATTTGTCCTCTCCCCTCAGGATTGGGTCCGATCCACAAGCTCAGACCAGGGGATTCCCCCAACTTGCCAGTTGTCACAGAGTTGCTCTAATGTGCCACCATAGAGCCTGAGATGCCCACAGCACCTCCACCCAATCTGGGATAGCCGTCACCCCCCACTGCAGAACTCTGAATTACTTCAAAACCATGTCCTCATGGTTGCTCCAACAAGCTGCTTCTGCGTTGCCCAGGGTGGTTAACCCAACTCTATACCACGGTCTTGATATTGTTTTAACTCACTGCACCATCCCAATGTCCTATGGCAGGTTACAGTGCTGTATGTAATTGAGTGAGAGGTAGTGAGCTTTGGAAGAGGTCTATGCTGGTAAATGTAGTATAGTTCCCCGAAACTGCTGGTAACCCCACAACATTAACCCTGGCAATTTTTATAATGGAGATATCCCATCTCCTAGAACTGGAAGGGACCTTGAAAGGTCATCAAGTCCAGCCCCCTGCCTTCACTAACTGATTTTGCCCCAGATCCCTAAGTGGCCCCCTCAAGGATTGAACTCACAACCCTGGGTTTAGCAGGCCAATGCTCAAACCACTGAGCTATCCCTTTGTTGTTGACTATATACTTGCTAATAACTAAATTTCTAGTGCACTCACAGTGTATGTAGGTGCTACATATAAGAATCAGTAGAATCTGTATTATGAGAGAGAGACTATTGAATGGCATTGGGAATTAGTGTGCATGTGTGTATAATCACACATGGGTAAAAGCATTTTGCTTCCTCACACAGTTCCCTTTACAGCTTTTTAGTACTTTGAATATTTTGTATTTCAAAAATTGAATATGTTAAGACTCCATCCCCTCTGCCTGTGGTATGCCCCTCACCTCTTTCTGCCTCTTCACAAGGAATGGATCAATTTGACTGGAAGAGGGGTGGATAGGTCTATCAGAGCAGGAGGGGGCAGTTTGGCTCCCAACACCTCACTGAGCCAGGAACTTGACCCCACACACTAGGGTGACCAGACGTCCCGATTTTATAGGGACAGTCCCGATTTTGGGGGCTTTTTCTTATATAGGCTCCTATTACCCCCCACCCCCGTCCCGATTTTTCACACTTGCTGTCTGTCTACCACACACATGCCCCATGCTTTTCACTACAGAGATCTGCCCTCCTCAGATTCCACCAGGCTCAAGTTGAGCTGTTCTGACAGGGCTGCTGCTCAGGAGTTCAGCCACTCCAAAAGGGGCATGTTGAATCCTGAGCCACTTGCCCAGGGCCCTGGGGGACAGATTGCTATTGCCCCCATTTCTGAAATGGCAGCCCACAGAGAGAGACTCCCAGCATGCTCTGCAGCCTGCCTGTTTGTGCCATGGCATGCTGGCAGCCACAATTCTCTATTAATTCTGCTGGTAGCTTAAGGGTTTGTGGTGAAAATTAGAGCTGCCTGAGGTAGATTGGCACACTTATAGCCACTACTAAATTTCCATATAATTTGACATACACTTCACCATACTGTGAATACTAAACAGAATTCTGTAAACCAGTTTACAGTGACCAATATGTCAGGTCTAATGTACTCTAAAATGAATATTACTTGTATAACACAATAGACATGCACGATACTTTATTATACAGGTATAAAGAGATTCCTGGCCCCAAAGAGCTGGTCTGCGCAACCTTACCTTTGTGTGGAGACCCACTGGAATTAATCGGTACTGGCACGGGGTAAGGGTCCCCATCCATGCAGATCCAATTGTGGGATCAGGGCTTAAGAGAAGAACAGGAAAAATCAACACAGGGATACAAAATAGCATCTCACAATTATTAGTTAGTGTTAGTTGATATATCTATATACTGTATTTAAAATACGGTTTTTTAATTATTAGCAGATCAAACTGACACTTGTCTATTGTCAATGACAAACTTTCAGTGAGTTTTGAATTCTAAATATGTTACAGGATGTGTGTATATAAAAGTCCCAAGAATGGCACAAACTTTGTCAACATGAGCATATTTTGTAACGTAGACAATAACACGTTTGTTCACTCTTCAGCTTATTACAGGTTCCTAGTGCTTTTCTTCAACTGCCTCTTGACTTTTGGCTCTTACTTCTGCTTTGATATTCCCAGTGTCCTGCAGGAGCAGTTTCAAGGGGTAAGTAACTAGGTAACAAGGGGAAAGATAAAACTTTTGCTAGGCCCCCTTGACTGCAGTCAAAATGAAGACTGGGAAAGTGGTGTATAAATTGAAAAGCAGAGATTCCCAGTTACAAACAGGGAATTAAAAAAAACATTCTAATCCAGATCCCCGAGAACCTGAGAGATGTTATGCTATGAAGAAGTCTAGTGCAGGGGTTCTCACAACAAATTTTTTGGTGGCCTCAGAGTGCGGCCACTAACTCTTGCTGGTGGCCGCTCTGACAATTTTTCCTAAAATACTTAATTAACTTTAGGAAAAACAAATAAATATGCACATGTCCAAATCATTGTAATTTATTTATGTAGGATTTATATTTATTTTTTTGCAGACTCAATAATAAAAATAATGCACAGTTCTCTCTATTCTTTACTGGACCTACACAAAATGGAAATACAAAGAAGGTGCTTTGCACATTCTTTTCTTTTTTCTTGTTGTTTCTTTTGCTTTTTTAATTGCTATTTTTTTTTAATTATTTTTAGACTTGCTAGATACTAAGTCTGTAAAAAGTGATATTAACAAACATACAAATATCACTTTTCACAGCAGATTTACTCAGTCCCGGAAAGCCCTGGATGTAGAGGTGGGTACGGAGGCAGCAGGGGTCAGAGATGGGGAGGCAGTGGGTGCAAGCGGTGATGGGGGGGTGGTGAGCTTGGGGCCAAAGTCCACCACCATGTGGCTGGGGAACGAAGCTCGAAGCCTGTGGCTAGAGTCCTCCAACCGCCACCCCAGGACCCCATTGCCCCTGGGAAAGTGGGGAACTCACTGGCCTCCTGCTCCTCCAGTTTTGTGTCTCCAGAGGGAGGCAAGGCCCAACCATTTCTGGTGGCCCTGGGGGAGCAACCGCTGCTTTGGCCCCCCCACAATCACTGCCCAGGAGGCTGTGGCCACTAGAAAAGCCCCTGGTGGCCGCATTTGAGAAACGATTGTCTAGTGCCAGTGATACATGCTAAGAAAGATGGATTCACTGTGTCCAGACAATGATATCTAGACAGTCCAGGAGAGATGGTAACATGTACAAAGCAAATGCAAGCAGTTGGAGGAACAATTGTTGTTTGGTGACTTATGTATATGTTACAGGCTAATATCTTTCCCATGCTCAGTCACAACGTAGTGTAGGTTGTTAGTATTATATTTACAGGACCATCACTGTGCTTTACAAATAATAAGTCTGTTGTAGATTTTATAATCTAAATTGGATTGAAAGAATAGGGGTGTTTAAAAATTACCTAAATCAATTACATCAAGCTGTTGTAGTGACTGCAAGTGGGTCTGTGATTAAACTGAGAAGTAAAACAAATAATGCTCGTAACTGATACAAGTAAAGCCCTTTATTCTCTAGGGTTCATACTAATATCTCCACCTCGTTCACTGCACCAAGCCTCTCCTTTTTAAAAAAAATGAACTATCCGTATTGCAGAGTACATTTTCCTCCATAGAGGATTGGGTGCTGTTGTGTGCATTATTTTGTTGTAGACCAAGATCTGAGATGCTTACTTGGAGCTCTTGATTGTTTGTGCTACTGTGTGACGTTCCCCTCTGGTGTTATCTGGACCGGTGATCTGCTAGGTAACTCCAATCCTTGACTCTGGGAGCCAGCCTTACCCTGCTCTGCTGTGAGAACCCCCACTCCTGGGCTGTTCACGCACAGCCTCTGGCATGTAAGCTGCTTCTTGGATTGTGCAACTGAGGGCTTGGCTACACTTGCGAGTTAAAGCGCATTAAAGCAGCCCCATGCACTCTGTAACTCACGATGCATCCACACTGGCAAGGCACGTAGAGCGCTCTGACTCCGTGGCTAGAGCGCTCCTGGTAATCCACCTCAGCGAGTGGAATAACATTTGATGTGCCCCCGCTGGAGTGCCGCAGCGCCAGTGTGGATGCCCTGGTCTGTTAATGTGCTCTGATCGGCCTCCAGAAGTGTCCCACAATGCCTGTTCTAGCCACTCTGGTCATCACTTTGAACTCTACTGCCCTGCCTTCAGGTGACCAACCGTCAGACCTTCCCTTTAAATTCTCTGGGAATTTTTGAAAATCCCCTTCCTGTTTGCTCAGCCAGGCGGGGAGTGCTCTCAGCCAATCTTTCCAGGTGACCATTCCTCCACGCGCCAGGTGATCCCCAGTGTGGAGCAATGGCGAGGTGCTGGACCTTATCAGTGTTTGCGGGGAGGAAGCTGTCCAGTCCCAGCTGCGCTCCAGTCGTAGGAATTACGATACCTTCAGGCAGATATCAAGGGACATGATGGAAAGGGGCCATGACCGGGACGCATTGCAGTGCAGGGTTAAAGTGAAGGAGCTACGGAATGCCTACTGCAAAGCCCACGAGGCAAACTGCCACTCCGGTGCTGCCCCCGCAAACTGCCGTTTCTACAAAGAGCTGAACGTGATACTTGAGGGCGACCCCACCTCCACTCCGAGTACCACCATAAATACTTCAGAGCCCAGTTGAACAAGGCAGGAGGAGGAGAAGGAAAGTGGGAGTGAGGGTGCTGAGGAGGAGGAAGACACCCTGGCATCCCTAGATGCATGCAGCCAGGAGTTGTTCTCAAGCCAGGAGGAAGGTAGCCAGTCGCAGCGGCCGGTGCTTGGAGAAGGACAAACACCAGAGGAGGTGCCCGGTAAGCGACTTTTATTTTGGGGAAGGAAGTTATTCGGTGCGGGCTCTTGGGGCGAGGAGGGTTAGTGCTACATGCATGCCTAGATGCGGAATAGGGCCTTGATGTGCTCTCTCACATCGCAGTAATCAGCCTCTGTGATCTCTTCAGAGGTCTCATCCAGAACTTGGGCAATGCGCTTGCGCAGGTTTCTTGGGAGAGCCACTGCGGTCCTTGTCCCAGTCAGGCTAACATGTCCGCGCCACTGTGCCATGAGCGGGGGGGAGGGGAGAACCATTGCTGCATATGGGTCAGGGCGGAAACCGCATTGTAGTAGAAGACCCTCCCTTGCTTCCCAGCTCACCCTCAGCAGCGAGATATCTTCCAGGACGAACTCCTGTGGAAAATGTGGAGACAGTGTTCAGTATAGGGACCCCCTGCAGCTGTTGGCTCTCCCCAAGGCACAGAAACCCAGAGGACAGTATGGCCGTGAAACAATCAGTGCCCCTTGACCCTGTGCTTACTCACCGTTTTGGGGCTCCCGTGGGTTATGTCTGCTCACTTTGGGATGGGCAAATTATGCTATTGTGTAGACTGTGCTTGCCCTTAAGTATGGGGGAGTCATTGCTCTGTCTAGTGTGAACAATGCTGCCTCTGTTAAGTGTTGCATTTTGCCTTTACAGATGCAACCTTGAGATCTCAGCTGTCCGTGTTATCACCAGCCGAAAGACTCCAAAGAATTAGAAAGAGGCCACGTAGAAGCAAAGACATGCTGCATGAAGTAATGCTGCAGTCCCTTAACGAGAATCTAAAAGTGCAGGAGTGGAGGGAGAGTGAAAGGAGGATCTGCCAGTAGAATGAGGAGTGCTGGCAGCAAAGCACGGATCAGCTGATAAGCATCATGGAGCGCCAAGCGGACTCGATGCATGGCTACAAGCGCCTGGAAGTGGAGCACTACCACACCCCCTGCAGCCCTTGTCCCAAAACTCTTTCCCTTGTGCCCCCATGTCACCTCCAACCCACTTTCCCCAACATCCGGGTTCTTATCGCCACCAGCTGCCTCCAACACCTGTAGCTTCACCACCCAGTCCTGAAAACTATGACCCTTACCCACTGCACTCAACCCCCATCACCATGCATTATAGCCATCCTGAAGTGCAGCACTCATTGCACAGCACTCCAGACAGGAAGGCTGAGTATGATAACAGGGCATACGCAAATCTGTGGTTGTACCGTTCCCCACCCCACCTTCTTGCCCTTTCTGTTTCCCAAGCAGTTGTGTTTCTTTTCAATAAAATGGATTTTTTGGCTTTGAAAACATTCTTTATTATTGCATAAAGTAAAAGATACCTTAGCTCAGGAAAGCAACAGGCACTGCAAGTCAGCATAGCAAACACAGATTCCTACTAACATTGGAACCACTGCACTTCACTCCCGTGCAGGGCACCAAACATTACTCGTGGCTTTCAGCCTCAAATTGCTCCATCAAGGCATCCCTAATCCTTGCTGCCCCGCGCTGGGCCCCTCTAATAGCCCTGCTCTCTGGCTGTTCAAATTCAGCCTCCAGGTGTTGAACCTCCGAGTTCCATGCCTGAGTGAATCTTTCACCCTTCCCTTCACAAATGTTATGGACGGTACAGCACGCGGATATAACCGCGGGGATGCTGTCATCGGCCAGGTCCAGCTTCCCATACAGAGAGCGCCCTTTAAATGGCCAAAAGCACACTCCATAGTCATTCTGCACCGGCTCAGCCTGTTGAACCGCTCCTTGCTGCTGTCAAGGCTACCTGTGTAGGGTTTCATGAGTCATGGCATTAAAGGGTAAGCGGGGTCTCCAAGGATCACAATGGGCATTTCGACTTCCCCTACAGTGATCTTCTGGTTTGGGGAAAAAAGTCCCGGCTTGCAGCTTCCTGAACAGGCCAGTGTTCTGATAGATGCATGCATCTTTCCGGGCTGGACTGCATTAATGTCAGTGAAACGCCGACGGTGATCCACAAGCGCCTGGAGAACCATAGAGAAATACTCCTTCCGATTAACGTACTCCGAGGCTAGGTGAGCTGGTGCCAGAATTGGAATATGCATCCCATCTATCGCCCCTTCGCAGTTAGGGAAACCCATTTGTTCAAAGCCAGCCACAATGTCATGCACGTTACCCAGAGTCACGGTTCTTCTGAGCAGGATGCAATTAATGGCCCTGCAAACTTGCATCAACACGATTCCAACGGTCGAATTTCCCACTCCAAACTGGTTAGTGACCGATCGGTAGCTGTCTGGAGTTGCCAGCTTCCAGATTGCAATAGCCACCCGCTTCTCCACCGTCAGGGCAGCTCTCAATCTCGTGTCCTTGCGCTGCAGGATGGGGGCAAGCTCCTCACACAGTCCCATGAAAGTGGCTTTTCTCATCCAAAAGTTCTGCAGCCACTGCTCGTCATCCCAGACTTGCAGGACGATGTGATCCCACCACTCAGTGCTTGTTTCCCAAGCCCAAAAGCGGCATTTCACGGTGGAGAGCATGTCCGTGAATGCCACAAGCAATCTCATGTCGGATGCGTTACTTGAGTCGATATCATTGTCAGACTCCTCACTGTCAGTTTGGATCTTAAGGAGTAACTCAACTGACAAACGTGATGTGCTGGCGAGACTCGTCAGCATATTCCTCAGCAGTTCGGTCTCCATTCCCGCAGACCGAAAGGGAAGATAGAGCGCGCCGTACAAAAACCGTTGAAAGATGGTGCCAAATGTGGACGGAAGCACAGGGATTGCTGGATGCGAAACGATGCATCATGGGGCGTTGGGACAGGATCCAGAATGCCCTGCCCCCTTCCCACAAGCCACAGCGCCAGAATGGGAAGAGGTGCTCTGTGGCATAGCTGCCCATAATGCACCACTCCCCCAATGCTGCTGCAAGTGCCGCAAATGTGGCCATGCCAGTGCGCTTGCAGCTGTCAGTGTGGACAGACTGCAGCGCTTTCCCTACTGCGCTCTCCAAAGGCTGGTTTAACTCAAAGCACTCTACATCTGCAAGTGTAGCCATGCCCTTAATGACACTAGCCAATACCTCCGGTCCCAGACACAACCCTAGGAACCTCTGTCTTGCAGTGTTCAGTTATGCCTGCTGGACACTGCAAGTTTCTATGAGTTTGTCAATTTAACAAAGAAATTGATATACACTAGGCTTGTTATCCCAAGGGGAGTCTCTGACTTTTTTAATCAGAGAATTGTTTTTTTTATCACAGAAAACTAGGATCCCTGCCGATCATTACTGCTGATGGATTATGTTCAGTCTCTGGCAAAGGGATGGGTTTACTCATGTGCACCCTCTGCTAGTAGATCCAAGACATGTGATTGGCTAAAGTTCACTGTCCTTCTTAGATTATGGAGCTGGGCCTATGACTTTTAGAAGGCCTGCAAGAAATTTACACACTCAGATAATAAAGACTTCTGAAGAGACCCCAAACTAAGACAGGTTCAGAGAAGGAGAGTGTGCACCATTGCTACTGTTTTGTGGTGACGGCATTGAACTATGATTTAGGAGATCTGGTTCCAGTTCCTTATAAAAGTTTTTATAGCAGGGAGCTGGAATGAGGTCTCATTATTGAAGCTTCATTAGTTTTATAAAAGCTTTCATCGAATCATAGAATGTCAGGGTTGGAAGGGACCTCAGGAGGTCATCCAGTCCAACCCCCTGCTCAAAGCAGGACTAATCCCCAGGCCAATGCTCAAACCACTGAGCTATCCTGCAGAATACTTCCTGGTACCTTTATTTAGTATCAGATCATTAAAAATTAAGCTACAGCTGATTAAAATAAACAGACCAAGTGCATTTTGCAATGCAGTATCCTTGCCTTTCTCTTTGCTTCAAATCTCAGTGGTGTATTTATAAGAGGTGCTGAGACCCCACAGCCCCTATCAAAGTCATATGCCAATATATATTTATGCCTGTATCTGTAATTATCATTCCATGCATCTGAAGAAGTGGGGTTTTTACCCATGAAAGCTTATGCCCAAATAAATGTTAGTCTTTAAGGTGCCACTGGACTCCTTGTTGTTTTTGTGGATACAAACTAACATGGCTACCCCTCTGATACTTGGTATCATAGTCTATGAATGTCAAACCACAGTCATTTCCAATGGGTTTCCCAGTTGCCAGTGGGAAATAGGTTCTGCTGTAGTCTCTTATGATCCCTTGTATATTGTTGCAGCTCCTTTGTCACTCAGAACATTTTAATTACTGTCGTATCCATCTTGAGGATACGACAGTTATACACACAAGGCCACTGAAAATCTTTAAATTCCTTCTATCAGGTTGGGAAGTGAGTGGTGGAGATGAGTCTAGAAAGGAAGTCAAAACCAGGCTCTTGTACCTATTGAGGCCCACCACCCAAAAAGAAGGTTTGGCTAATTATTGTGTAATCCAAATTAGACCTCTATTACTGTTGGAATACAGACTTTTTATGTCAACTTGTTACACAGAACCTAACCTGCCCCAATGGAACCCAGCATAATGGCACTGGACATAATGGCACATTGGCCTGTGTGGAAGGTCTGGGGATGACGCCTGCACAGTACAACCTGCTATATGCAATCTATGCTTGGACGTGAGTCACCTTTCTTCTGTTTAAGGGAGGTATCGTGTGCACTGGTCATAGGATGTGCAGGGAGTAAAACCAAATGTTTGTGGTATTCTCCCTAGGAATGCGCTGGTGGTGATTCTGGCTGGATTCCTGATTGATAAACTGGGAAATCACTGTAAGTCCCAATTATTTCATTATAGCTGATCTTTCTTCTTGCACAGAAGTGACCTTTCCAGCTATTCCTTCAATGGAAAGAGATATTGCTTCCCAACACCAGAATCACCTTTTCAGTAAGGTGAAGGGATGAAGCAATGTGGGCAACAAAACAGAGCAAACCAAGGAAGGTACTTCCTTCTGGTGTGGAGAGAAGATGGGTGTAACAAAGGCTGCTCCATAGAATTACAAGCATCAGGGATCTCTGCTGTAAACTTGCACAGCTCCCCCTTTGGCCTGATTGTAGATCACTAGAATTTAGTATGACACACAACAGTTGAGTAAACATTGTTTTAATCTCCTGACACACAATAAAAGGAAGACAGGTAAGTTCAGAGCTGGCAGTGATCCTTTATCTACAAACTTTACACTCTTATTGTGACTGTCTGATAGTCCTGTATTCTTCTCTTCTACGTGGCCTTCTATTTGGTATCTGTCATCATGGTATCTAAGCTCCACAACACAATAAGGAATGCAGCCCTGGCCATTCCCTGTGGGGCTGGTCAGCATTCTTGTCTCTGTTTTTGCAGATGAGGACACTGGCACAGAGGTGAAGTTACTTGGCCAGTGTCAAAGAGTCAGTGGCAGAACTAGGAGTGAGACTCAGGAGTATGAAGCTTATAGGCTTGTGGTTGAGCCATTTAATGTTCCTTTGCCTCAGTTTCCCCATGTATAAGGCACACGATAATATTTCTCTCCTCTGCAAAGTGACCTAAGATCCTTCAATGAAAGGGGCTATATAGTAGTAAAATAATATGTCATAGAGTCAATTTGATGGGAGACCCAGGGATAAAAATTCAGAGCTCCTTTCAAATTTTCCTATTGCACAGTAATTTTGTCTTTTTATTTATTTATTGTATTTATCCGTTGGCTTTATTTCAATGTGTCCCTGTGTTTTTCTGTCTCCCTCCCTAGTTGGTGTCTTTCTTTTCTCTTTCCTGACTGTCTTGGGATCGTCCATCTTCGCTCTGGGCTCTCACTTCAAGGGAACTCCGTACCTTCTGCCGCTGATGCTGACAGGACGGTTGCTGTTTGGATCTGGGAATGGGTCACTTACCAGTAAGGAATCTGAGAACTCCTCTCCTGGTTAGACCCCAACAATGGGAGGACAAATGGAACAAAGGCCCAGCGGCAAAAATCCCTACAGTCAGACCTTCACCTGCTCTGTGCACCAGGAACCAGGCCTGAGTGGTGATGGATGAGGAGAGAGTATTTGGTCTGCCTGCTGGGAGTTGTAGAACTTTCATCTGCCCTTCTAATGTTAAGAACCATCATTTTAACCAGCCTTTGCCCCCTTCTGGGAGCAGCAACTGCAATACTCACACTACAGCTTGGCTTTTCAGAAGCCACTTGACCTCCCCCCGTTGCGGCAGTGGTAAGGACTATCCCAAAGGGGTGCTAATCTGATACACTGTATCTCTACCTCAGATATCCAAGAGTCTTTGACTCTGATCCCATCTGGCCCACCGAGCATGAATTGGGAAATTGCCCCAGGTATGTGTGTTTAATGCTCTGGGCTCGGTTTCCGTGCATTTGTTAATATAGCCCTTTCTCCTCTGTTCCCACCCCCTCCAAGTTGTGCAGAATCGCATCACTGCCTTCTGGTTCAAGGGGAAGGAACTGGCCTTGGCATTTGGACTGACCCTCTCCTTCTCCCGGCTTGGGAGTGTCCTCAACTTCTTCTTCACCCAGCAGTTTGAGACCCACTTTGGTATCCAGTGGACACTCTGGGGAGGTGAGCTTTTCCTTCTGGCTTCCGCTTCACTTGCCTCTAAGCCCAAGACAAAGCAGCCAAGTGATACTGTCTAACTCTGGTAAAGAATATGCATAGGAAAGAGAGTGAACCTGGTGTGTGGCAGGTGGGCTGTGTGTCTTCCAGACAGCGTTCCCTTGCTCTCCTTCCTGGCTTGAGGACACAATAGAAGATGCTTCATTGCTGGCTGAAGCTTCCTTCTAAAACTGTTGCATTTACCTCTAGCTTTGTTTGCAGCCTTTCTGTGACTTTACAACACTTGAAGGCATGTGTGAACAGTATTGTGTGTGAATGTATACTCCCATTGACTCAATGGAGTAAAACTGAATTACTTGTGTGTGTACACACACACTGCTATATTCTGAGTTGGCAATTCACTCTGACCAATTCCCACTGAGTTGATGATAGTTTTGCCTGTAGACAGACTTTAACATGGGTCAAATTCTGAATATTTATAGATTTAGGACCTCACCTCAAGAAAGCGTGTGTCTGTGTGCGCATGCGCGCGTATGTACAGGGGGTGCGGGATTTTCACTTTCCTGTTTTTGGTGCAGTTCTGCTCTGGCCTCCACGTTGCTTGATGGTTTTTTCCTTTTTACATTGACAAATGGAATCCCTGTGTAGCAGACACTATGATGTAGGGTCATAATATTGCTAGATGATGATGGTGCCTGGATATTATGGTGGTGGGTGTGTTAAAAATGCCTTGGAGGAGATGGTAAAGGGAATCACTGTGTTTGTACTTTGTGTGGGGTCTCTTGGAGATGGGGAGTGTAGGATAAATATACTTACCAAGTAACAAATCAGTGAATGTTGTACCAGTCCTATTCAAGGATGTGATTCCAGCCGAGAGGCAAGTATGAGAAAAATCCTGCCCCTCTGCCCTACTAAGATGTTCTCTCAACAAGCTCTGCTTTAACAGATTCACCTCCAGATCTTTGCTCTGTACTCGGGTGATAATTTTCCAATTGCAGCAGCATCAGAACAACTTGAGTATCCTACATGTGGAGGGTTAAATACACCAATGCTAAGCAAATGCACATCTGAACAGGCTTTTCAAGTGAACTTTGCTTGATTTTTTCCAAAGGATTCAGTTAGAAAACTGATCTGATTTGCAACAGTCACTTGGGGGCAAATTCACTGCTGGTATAACCCAGTGTAACTCCATTGACTTCTTTCTGAGGAGTTGTACCTGTTTACACCAAGGTTCAATTTGACCTTCCTTATCTGCAGTTACTCTACAAATGTGAAGCAGACCAACAAGTATGGGAGTTGTTTTTCTCCCCTCCATCTTCCGGAGATAGGCCGGGTGATCTCCTGGTCCCATGGACATTGGGGGTTTCTTTAGCCGTTTTCAATAACCAGGACTATTTTAATCCTCAGCTGGGGGAGGAGGGTATCAATAAGCAGAAATATTAATACTAAAGCATAGAATCATAGAAGATTAGGGTTGGAAGAGACCTCAGGAGGTCATCTAGTCCAACCCCCTGCTCAAAGCAGGACCAACCCCAACTAAATCATCCCTTTAATCATCCTTAAAAACCTCTAAGGATGGAGATTCTACCACCTCCCTAGGTAACCCATTCCAGTGCTTCACCATCCTCCTAGTGAAATAGTGTTCCTAATATCCAACCTGGACCTCCCCCACTGCAACTTGAGACCATTGCTCCTTGTTCTGTCATCTGCCACCACTGAGAATAGCCGAACTCCATCCTCTTTGGAACCCCCCTTCAGGTAGTTGAAGGCTGCTATCAAATCCCCCCTCACTCTTCTTTTCTGCAGACTAAACAAGCCCAGTTGCCTCAGCCTCTCCTCGTAAGTCATGTGCCACAGCCCCCTGATCATTTTCGTTGCCCTCCGCTGAATTCTCTCCAATTTGTCCACGTCCTTTCTGTAGTGGGGGGGCCCAAAACTGGACGCAATACTCCGCATGTGCTGAATAGAGGGGAATAATCACTTCCCTCGATCTGCTGGCAGTGCTCCTACTAATGCAGCCCAATATGCCGTTAGCCTTCTTGGCAACAAGGGCACACTGCTGACTCATATCCAGCTTCTCATCCACTGTAATCCCCAGGTCCTTTTCTGCAGAACTGCTGCTTAGCCAGTCGGTCCCCAGCCTGTAGCAGTGCATGGGATTCTTCCATCCTAAGTGCAGGGCTCTGCACTTGTCCTTGTTGAACCTCATCAGATTTCTTTTGGCCCAATCCTCCAATTTGTCTAGGTCAGTCTGAACCCTATCCCTACCCTCCAGCATATCTGCCTCTCCCCCCACCTTAGTGTCATCCGCAAACTTGCTGAGGGTGCAATCCATCCCATCATCCAGATCATTAATAAAGATGTTGAACAAAACTGGCCCCAGGACTGACCCCTGGGGCACTCCGCTTGATACCGGCTGCCAGCTAGACATTGAGCTGTTGATCACTACCCACTGAGCCCAATAGTCTAGCCAGCTTTCTCTCCACCTTATAGTCCATTCATCCAATCCATACTACTTTAACTTGCTGGCAAGAATACTGTGGGACACTATCAAAAGCTTTGCTAAAGTCAAGATATATCATGTCCCCCACTTTCCCCATATCCACAGAGCCAGTTATCTCATCATAGAAGGCAATCAGATCTTATTATATTATCAGATCTTATTATAAAATCAGTGAAAACTTGGCCTTACAATGTTTGCAACCCAAACTTTTCAGTCTTGTGCTGATCCATACATTGTAAAGGATCCAACTTGTGTCTCAATGGAGAAGTACTAGTCATGTTGTAAGAGAGAAGCCAGGAAGATGAATCATGCAGAGGGCTCTGTCATTCAGCTCTCCCTGCTCCAGGGAAGTCCTAAAATCTCTTCTGTGTTTGCAGGTACCCTGCTCTGTATGTTGGGTTTTATTTCAGCCATCACAGTCAGCGTGCTGGACAAAGTGGGCATGAAGCAGCTTGGCTTGGATGGGGTTATCCAGCAAGAGTCCAAGAAAGTGGTACGTGGAATACAGACCGCCTTTTCCTCCAGAGCCTTGAGGTTCTGGCATGGGCTAACTGAATTTTGTTGTCTCTGCTGAGTTTATTTTGTGACTGAAGTTTGCAATAGCAGTAGCTGATCTTGGCCAGAAGAGGGAGCCAATGCCACTTATCCAAGTTTTATATGGTAGTTCTTCATATAAGTCTCTTAGGCTTCTGCAGCTGCAAACAACAAGGGATCGTGAAAATTAAACTAAACAAAGAGAATAAATGTTGCCAGCCTATCAGAGACCAGAGCCAGCACTCTGAGCATGAGGGGTCAGCAAACATTCACCTGAGTTCATTGTGCAAGTTGCTTGTGAATACAGATGAGATTCTAGCCTCCTCTTGTGTGATTTACAGAGTAATCTGGTCAGAACTAGCCCATCTTCCTGCCAAGGCAGAACCAGTCTTTGTGCTACACTCTCCAAGAGTATGTCTACACTGCAATTAGATACCTGTGACTGGCCCATGCCAGCTGACTAGCCCAGGTGGGTTAAGGGCCTGTTTAATTGTGGTGTAGACGTTCAGGGCTCAGGCTACAGCCTGAGTTCTGGGACCCTCCCAAATGTCAACACTGCAATTAAACATCCTGGTGAGCCCAAGTCAGCTGGCATGGGCCAGTCACGGGGGTCTAATTGCAGTGTAGACATACCCTTAGTGTCCCAAGTAACAGGGCTGCCATTGTTTCAGGTCATCAGATCCATTAAACTTCAGAAGAGTATACCCTGACGGAAGGTCTTAATGATAGTTTTCCATTCTTAATGTACTGGTTATATTCTGGTATTTCTCTTCATTAATAACTCCTAGTTATACCTACATCCCTGCTGTGCTTCATCCCATGGTTTGCCTCTGGCAGCTGCTAGTTCTGCTCAGAAAAGTCTTGTGCTGCTACAGACTTTTATGAAGGGAAGGAAAAGCACTTGACCATACTGCCAGAGAAGGGTGGTGTGTGGGTGTGGAGGGGCACAGCAAATGCTGGAACTCCCAGAGGCGAATGAGTGACCTTTCAGACTCCAGTCACCAGCTGGCCCTTCTCATGGAATAGTAGAGGAAGAAGGTAACATCATTATGAAGTTGGAAGTAGTCTGTATCCTATTAATCTAGGGGGCTTTTCTCTTTACAGCGAGTTCAGGATGTCCGGCGACTGCCACTTTGCTACTGGCTCCTAGTCCTAACCATCATGTTCTTCTACAACGGGGTCTTCCCTTTTGTGGCAGATGCCAGGTACTGACCAGAAAGGTAGCATTGGTGCTGGTAACTGTTCCCAGCACTGGAGCTTCGGTACAGAGCTAACAGTGTCCATCTCCCTCTCCATTCAGCTAGCAGGGGCATCTCAGAGGAATGGGGAGCTTTCCAAATAGCTTGTTCACTGCTGCCTTTGTGAGCACAAAGCCAGAAAGGGAGCAATGTCCTTCTCAAGCAAGGTGCTTAACATTTAGCTATAGAACATCAGGGTCCTTTGATTCGTCTCTCCCTTGCACTGTGTTATGCAACCATCTCTGAAGATGATGTGAGACATGGGGATTTCCAGTCCAAAGCAACCTTAAAGGAACGTGGATTCTTCCAAAACTCCAAAGATTGGGGAAATTCCAAATCTGGTTTCCTGCAAATTAATACTTCTCCCCTGACCTAGGTGGAACAATGGCAAAGAGGAAACCCATCTGACCAGCACCTGAAAGGCTCATGAAGTGCATCTAAATGGAACTGCTCAGCTTCTGGGGTCAGGGGGTTTGTGCTGCATAAATCCATTCAAGTAAAACACTTACTGAAGTGGCAATGTCAACAGGAGGAAGGTGCTGAGGGCTCCAATGGGGTCAGATTCATGGCCACTGATGCTGTAAAGTGTTTCCTGGCTAAACAACTCAGAACCATTGCAGCTTTCCCAAGATGCTTTCCAAGACTGCCACACATGTGAGCAACTGCCTGGAAGGTGGCTAGCAGCCAGCATCTTAAGATAAGGCATAGATTAAAACTGCTGTGCATGGCAGTTCCTACAGCACACTGCCATTTCCAAAATGCTAGAACAGGGGTAGGCAACCTATGGCACGCGTGCCAAAGGCGGCACACAAGCTGATTTTCAGTGGCTCTCACACTGCCCAGGTCCTGGCCACTGGGTCCGGGGGGCTCTGTATTTTAATTTAATTTTAAATGAAGCTTCTTAAACATTTTAAAAACCTTATTTACTTTACATACAACAATAGTTTAGTTATATATTACAGACTTATAGAACGAGACCTTCTAAAAACATTAGAATGTATTACTGGCACATGAAACCTTAAATTAGAGTGAATAAATGAAGACTTGGCACACCACTTCTGAAAGGTTGCCGAACCCTGTGCTAGAACCTCAGTGGGAGGGAATGCAGTTAGAGTAGCAGACTAGGGGTCGAGAGACCTGGGTTCTGCCCGCCCTGGCTCTGACACAGACTCTATATAACCTTGGGGAAAGTGCTTCTCCTCTGTTTGTTTTCCCCATTTTGCACATGGCTATACTGCTACTTTTCGCACAGGCGGCTTGCAAAACTTAACATTAGCAAAGTGCTTTGAGATCTTGGGAGAAAAATGAAAGGAGGACTCTATATTTATAAATACAAACAAACAGCTCAGCAGTTTGGGGTGGAGAGGGGTTCTTGCAGGCTTGCTGCAGCAATTAACAAAAAAGGTCCTAATATTAGAACCTAGTGAAAGCAAAATGGGATCTTTGGGGCTCTCCCTGCACTCCCTGAAATGGACCCTCTGGCCAGCTGTCATCTGCTTACCTTACCCAGAAATGGTCCCCATACAGCCTGATTCCTGCACTGCTGTATCCCCACGTTCTATCATGGAGCAATACTCCACACTGCCTCCGGAGCAAAGAGTCATGTTTCAAATATCAATTTTGGCAGATTAATTCCAGGCTTGTTTCCAAAACAAGAATCATGGCTCAGTGCCTTCCGTGTCATTGATTACTTGGATCCATGGAAGTTAATCTGCAGGGACAGCATTTTGCTGCCCCAGCGCTACAGAGAAGTTCAGCTGTCCTCAAAATAATTCTAGTCACTTAAAAGCAACCAGTCAAAATCTAGGTGAGAAGAGGGTTTACAAATAAATTAGTTTCTCAAAGCTGCTAAGCAGTGGCTGGCCACTAGAAATCTAGGTGCCCTACAAAGGATTTTAAAAACACTAGGTTTATGCCATTTTTGTCCTCCATAATGTACGAAGGAGCTTGTTTTCCACTGTAGCGATATTGGGGCCTGTCTTCTCTGCTTTTATTGGATATCTTCTTGGAGCAGTAGAGAACTGGAGTGGGAAATTTCTGAGCCCTTAATCAAAGGGTTGAAGTTGTTAAATGCTGATCCTTTCCTCCACTGTTTTGAGTTAATGTATCTAAAAATTTAACATCCCTCTCAGTCTTTCAGTTTCAGGCTGAGAAATCTTCTACTCCCCCAAGGAGACCACCAGGGAAAACAGGACTCACTGTTCCTGGAATTTCCAAGATGCATGCCCCCCTCCCCATGCCCCGAAACATTCAGGCCTCCTTTATCCATCATAAAGCAAGGAAGGGCACAAACCTCCCTTTTTCCCCCCCCCCAACAGACCTTTTTGTTCAGCACACCTTTTTAAAAACTGATGAGAATGCAGATTGATTTGAGTTTTTGCTTTGACAAGTTCTCTAATTAAAAACTCCCTGTCCAGATGTGTGCTCAGACTTGCTTTGTGCCAAGATAACCAGACCAAGAATCCTAAGGTAAATTTTTTTTTGTCCCCCTCAATTTTATTTTTAGCAAGTTTATCCAGGATAAGTACTCTGGCTACAGTCAGCAGGCAGCCGCTTACATTGCTGGGGCGGTATACGACAGCTCCCTTGTTCTCTCTGCAGCAGTTGGCATATTAATCGTGAGTACCCAGTATTTAGCAGAACATCAACTACATGGTGGATTGTCTGCTGATAGACCAAGGCTTAGTGCAAATAATATTTTGTGCGTCTCTGACAGAGATTGAGAGTTTAGAGCTCTGGAGTTGGGTCATTAGTGATGCAGGGGGTTAACAGACTAGTTTAGAAACCCTGAATACCATTCTGTATTAGGTCAGCAGTGAAATGAGTTTGATCTCTGATCCCCTAGTTCCTGTTGTAGAAGAACGACAGCAATAGCTGAATACTCATGAGAGTCCCAAGATAAAACAGTGAGGGAAGTGTTGCAGGTCAGGATTGAGGGGCACAGGCAGAGCTTTGTAAGGGATGAGGAGCAGTAGCTTGCACAGAATCAACTCCTGCTTTGTCTAATTTATCAATCCCTCACTTCCGTAAGCACTAAAATGCAACATACTGCCTTAAAACTAAAACCTTGGAGTTTCAAATTCAGGTGATTTGGAACATCCTTACTCTCTGATAGGCACACCAGTCTCTTCAGTCCCTCTCGGTACAGGTGAGGAACTGGAAATACTTTGTGAGGTGTTATTTTCCATTAGCTTATAAGTTATCATTTACCAGCACGCATTGCTCAGCTGCGCACATTGAGGAGGAGTGCACTGGAGCCCTGGTGGAAACTGTCGGGGACTCTCGGTAAATCACCTTCTGTTTGTCCTTCATCAGGACTATGTAGGACTGAGAGGTGTGTTTGCAGTTGGTTGTGCTGTGCTGACTCTGCCAGTCTTTGCTCTCCTGGCATTTACATTTGTTCCTCCGCTTGTCTCTACCATCTGGCTGGGGATCACTTACTCCTTTGCTGCTGTAAGTATGTAGAAGCCACAGCATTAGCTGGTCACTTTATAACTCTGGTCCCTCCTCACTCCTTTCCAGACACTGGCATTTTACACTAACCAAGGGCTAAACATTGGGCATGTGTGCATTCTGAGGTCTTTGGATTACAAAGCCCAAAGGATGTAGTCAGCAAACACCCCCGTATAACCCAAAACAGCGTAAGGAACCCATTGGCATGGTCTGTGGGAAACATTAGCTGTTAAGCAGTACTGTCCTTTCATGACATCTTTTGAGCAGGATCTAGAGTGTCCACCTAAGTCAGTTATCCCAGCTCCTCATTGAGATGTTTGACTCTGAATTGTGTGTGCTTTAAGCTGACTGGAGTAACTGGAGAGGAAAGATATAGGCACTCTCATCATCCATTTACTGTAATCTTCTGGTCTGATAGTGGTCATTGGTGGATGAGTCAGAGGAAGGTGTAAACCCCTCCATAAGGCGTCCAAATGTGTAATGGGGACAACTTCCTTTCTCCCTCAGTCAATCAGCTAGTAGCCTGAAGCTGGGGCTTGAATTGTTAGACTCGTCTAGAAAGTGTCTTGGCAGCAAACTTTTCCTACTTTAACATCAGCCCATTTCATTACTCCTTACAACAGGCGAGTCTGTGGCCATCCATACCCCTTGTGGTTCCCCAGGCAACGTTAGGTACAGCTATGGGGCTTGCAACCTCTGTGCAGATGATTGGAATTGGCCTCTCCAATCTGATCGTTGGACACATTCTGGGAACCAAGTCCAGGTGAGAACTAGTGCCTTTTGTCTCTTAAGCAAAAGCCCACAAGTTGTGCTGATGGGGACTAAACTGAGAACATAAAACCAGTTTTGTTTATGGTCTAAACCAAGCAGACTTTCAGGACACGAAAGTCAACATCATGTGCTGCTTCATTTTATTTGGATGTTATATAGCAAGAGGAAACACATTCTCACATGATCATTGTTTGTTCATCTTCTGGACCCAACAGTGAACTAAAGATCCCACTATGGCGCTGGCAACAGATGATGATCTTCATGCTGGCAAACACCATTGCATGCATTACTGCCTCTGTTAGCCTCAACGTGGTGGACAAGCAGCAGGTAGTAACATGCTTAAACTTCCATTACCCTCCTACCTCCAGGGCAAGATGCCTTGGACACTAGGTATTTCCTACAAAAAGTGCATTGGGGCAGTTCTTAGGTGTAAACTTAGCTCCCAACATGTTGGTTTGAAAGGGACCTTAGGTAGTGCAGAGTTTGTATGAGGAAGGTTTTCTCACTGACTCGGGCTAGGTACTGTTGAGTTGGTCACTGCAGAATATCCTGCAGATACCTACTGCTTTCCGTGTTTTGTTACCATACTTTTTAAGATAGGAGTGGCAATGGTGGGAACTACCAGTATCACATATGTTGGTGGCCTAATCACACATTCCTTCCCCAAGATGGGTTGCACAAAATATTGAAGACCCAAATATCTGCTGAAAGGTTGTCTGTAAGCTACACACATTCTCTAGGAAAGCTACTTGTTTGTTTCACTATCTGCTTCTCTGAATTGCCAGGGTGGGACACTGAACAGAGCAACAAAGCGATCATCTGCAGAACAGGTCAGACAGCCTGTAGACACAGCACCGCTCCTAGATGAAGTGGGAAATGAAGGGTTCATCAACTAAGAAGCATCAGGATGCCCTATTTTGGATCCTACAGTGACAGAGTACAACTACAACTGGTTGCTGGCACAGTATTGTCCCTCTTTATTTCCAATTATATGCTTTTAAGGAATACATTGTAATATTTTTAGTTGTTTTTTTTTTTTTTTTTTTTTTAACAAGGGTAACCTTATTCAGTCATCCATGAAAACAAGCTGGTGTATGAAGGGAATTATACATATGAAGGGAAAGTTGTTTTGTTCCTTGTGTCTGGAACAAATCAGCCATATGGTACATTAAGCCAATGATGAAGCTTATGTGGTACACTTTTTGAAATGGACTACACTAGAGTCTAAACTCAATCCACCTGAAGTTTGTTCTAAGCAACTATATACCATCTTATAATTCACCTTAATTCATCATTATAAATGTGTCAGTGTAAGGTATTTCATTAAAATATCACTGCACCTTCACAGAAAGCTCCTCATACAGTGGCGTGAATGGGTTGAGTAGCCTTCCATTTCAATAATTGCTGTTGATTGTCAATGTCCGTTCACAAATTCATTGTGTGTAAATAAGATTGCCACTTTATCCTGGCAGAGGCTGTTGGGATTGTTTTTCTTATTTTAAATTGGCAAGACCAATTATGTGAAAACTAGCCAAACTTTTTGCTTAACACTCCCACAAGCTGCATTATTCAGATACAGCAATGTTACCTTCAAATTGTATGAAACTGTTGATCAAAAATAGTAAATAAACCCCCTTAAAACCTGATCGTATACTAGCGATTGTCAATGCATATTGATCATTGACTTGTACAGATATGTAAAACAATCATCTTTACTATGCAACCTCTTGAATGGTGCTCGTATAAGCATTGAGGATGATGTGTCAAGTGTGTGTTAACTTAATTGTTAAACAGAGCTGAGAGAAACTACTTGAAAGATGATTTGCTAAAAAAAATGACAGGTATGGAATTTGCTGCTTGTACATGGTTAAACAATTGCAGAGTAAAATTACTAACTTCTGTATTAATGTGAGAACAGAAGGTGTACTGATGAGTCCAATAAAGTAACCTTTTTCTAAAGTAATTGTTACAGAGGAGAAATCCTCTATTACTGCAAATTTTGTTCCAGTGACACAGCTGAGCTAGGATAAGTTTTTATGTAGCAATTCCCTCTCTGCCTTCTGTTAGTATGTGTAAGTTCATCTGAAGCTACTCCGACTCACCTTACAACCTAATGCAAACAATGGAAGGACTGGACTTTAGGAACACCTATGACTAAGGCAACTGAAAGGCTGAGGGGAGAGGCTATAACCCGCTCCAGTTCCTGTGGCAGGAGATTTTGAAAGATATGGTGCCCTTTCCTGAAAACTCGATGGCTTATACTCATACCTTCTACTATCATGAGGCAGTACAATGGAGATACTTGTAATGTGAGCATGTATCCTATAGAGATGGTCATAATTGGACTTAGCTTGAAACTTCCTAGTAGCTGAGTGTGAGCCTGTGCTGTTTATTTGCCCGCAACAGCTTATTTAGTCTGCAGAAGAGAAGAGTGAGGTGGGGTTTGATAACTTGCAGGGGGGTTCCAAAGAGGATGGAGCTAGGCTGTTCTCAGTGGTGGCAGATGACAGAACAAGGAGCAATGGTCTCAAGTTGCAGTGGGGGAGGTCTAGGTTGGATATTAGGAAAAACTATTTCACTAGGAGGGTAGTGAAGCACTGGAATGGGTTACCTAGGGAGGTGGTGGAATCTCCATCCTTAGAGGTTTTTAAAGCCTGGCTTGACAAAGCCCTGGCTGGGATGATTTAGTTGGCGTTGGGCCTGCATTGAGCAGGGGGTTGGACTAGTTGACCTCCTGAGGTCTCTTCCAACCCTAATCTTCTATGATTTTAACAATAGTTTTAGCCACCTATTAGTTGAGGGGAGAGCCTTTGATGAGTTAGTAAAGCAGACCTCAGCTATACTATCCCTTTAAATGCATATTTTTACATGCAATCACTGCTATTCTGCATTGGCATCGTATTACTAGACCTTCATGCTGTAACATTCTGTAGTTGCATTTGGAAATTCATGCTGGGATTTCTATAGTCCAGTGTAGGACACAAATAGTAGGGCTCTGCCTCAGAAGAGTAACAGATGTTCTGTGCCTAGTTAACATCATCATAAGCAGCAGTCTAACACTTCACAAAAAACATAGCTGTCAGCACTAAGTTATCAAAGTTACTACTTAACATAATGACCACACTGGGTCAGACAATAGACTGTCTAGCTCAAAATTCGGTCTCCTGACAGTGGCCAATGTCAGATGCTGTAAAGGGAATGAATAGAATTGGGCAATTTTGATTGATCCATCCCATCATCCATTTCATTGGGTGACCCTTGGTTCTCATGTTATTTTATAGACCTCTATCCCCCCCTTAGTCATTTCTTTTTCCAAGCTCAATCATCCCAGTCTTTTTACTCTCTCCTCACATGGAAGCTGTGCCAGACCTTTTTTGTTGTCCTCCATTCTTAATATTTTTTGAGATGGGGTGACCAGAAATGCATGTAGTATTCAAAGGGGGGGAGGGTGGGGAAGAGAGAATACCATGGCTTTATATAGTGGCATATTTACTATCTTATTTGTCCCTTTCCTACTGGTTCCCAACATTATTAGCTTTTTTGACTACTGCTGCACATTGAGCAGAAGTTTTCATAGAACTATCCACAATGCCTCTAAGATCTCTTTCTTAAATGAGCTGTTACCACTCAGGGCCCATGATTTTGTATGTGTAGTTGGGATTGTTTTATAATATGCATTACTTTGAATTTAGCCAGATTGGGCAACAAAATGGCAGACGAAATTCAGTCATGCACTTTAGTGAGATCCTTTGCAACTCTTTGCAGTCAGCTTTGGACTTAACAAGGAATTTTGTATTATCTGCAAATTTTGCCACCTCTCAATTGTACATCCCCTTTTCCAGAACAGCACAGCTCCCACTACAGATCCTTAGGCCCCCCATTTAATTCCCTCCATTGATAAAACTGACTATTTATTCCTAGCTGTTGTCTCCTATCTTTTAACCAGTTACTGATCGATGAGAGACTCTTCCCTCTCATCCCATGACTGCTGATTTTGCTTAAGAGCTTTTAGTGAGGGACATCTTCAAAGGCTTTCTGGAAGTCCAAGTACACTCTATGGATGCTTGTTGACACCCTCAAAGAATTCTAATATGCCTCACCACTCTAACTTTCCTTTATTTATTTCAAAGGTAATGGGAAGATTGGTAGCCTGCTGCTCCTTCCTCCTCAATATGTAAGTTTTCTGTTGTTTCTCATGAGTGAATTTTGAACTAGACTGTCAGATGATACCTGACTGCTATTTGAGACACGGAAAAGCCTACAGGTGTTTTCTCTAGTGACTTGCCAAACCATGCAATTGATCAACACTTCTGCTACATCTTAAGCTAACTTCAGTATGTACACTAGGCACCTGCACTTTTCTGTTGTATTGTCTAGAGCATTAACCTGGATAATGTTTATCTTAAAAGTTAGATTTGTTTCTTCTAGAAGAGAAATAAAGAACTCATTGGCAGATTCTGTAGTATGACTTCATCATATAGTTCTGTAACTGTGGTCATTCACCAATAAGGTTGCTTAATCCTTTATGGCAATCTATGGGTTACATCCAGTGTTTGTATTCATTTATCTCCTGCCTATCACTGTATTAAGATTTAATTATCATTGATACTATTTCATAGGTGCACAAGCTCTTACCTAAAAGATTAGCTTAAGAATGTGTTCTACCAAGAGATGAAATATGAAAGCCTGGTCTTACAAGCAGCACAGAGGTACAGTGAAGTTCAGTCTGCAGATGGAATATGGATCCCTGGTTGTTTATACTTTCCAGCTGTGACAAAACATCAACTTTGACAGAGGGCCTGCATAGTTCACCTTAAGTTAATATTTCTCTCCAACTGCCATGCTGTCTAATTTATCTGGAGTTGGATGTGTAATAGTCTAAGTATCTAGTCTACAGAACAAAAGCAGCTAGATATATAAGGACAGTTTTATGCACTTACATTTGTTTCAATAGGGAAAAGGCTTACAAGCTATGAATTTTCACAAATATGGATCAGTTTCTAGGGACAAGTGTAGATGCTCAATAGCAAAGCAATTAAAGGCAAATTCAGACAGTTTCAAAGTTTATGGAAAGGGGCTTAAATAGCAGAAAAATGCATCTAAACACAGCCTGTTGGAAGCTGCTGAACTTTCATTTTTGTATCCATCACAGGGGAAGCTAGTGTAGATTCTGATTCCAGGCATGCTCTAGGCTACAGTGCTTCTGCAACATGTCAGAGAATGGAGCACCTTTAAAATTAACTGTGGTAGGAAGTAGGTGTTTGAGAAGGCTCATTGTATTACACAAGAAATGTTATATGGAATTTGATCACAGGCTAAAGTGTTTGCTATAGACTAGAACAGTGACTTATTTACAGGAGTACCCAGCTACACACAGTGAAGTAACAAAATATGGTGGTTTATTGAGAAGTCCATGATTTAACATTAATACAAGTTCCATTCCCCTTTTGCCTCTGTGTGTTTAAAAAAAAAAAAAAAAGCAGCATCCTTATCAAACTTACACTCTGCTCAGTGTCTCAAGTCTATGCCAATGAGGGAAATGCTAGCCAACATATGCAGACAGAAGTCCATAGTAGTTTAAGACTTAGCTGGAAACTGCTGTTTAAAACAGTATTTCAGCTCCTGTTAGTCTATAAGATATCAAGCTTTGAATCTAAGCTCACTGACTTGCCCACAGACAAACCCTTCAATACAAAAGCTGAAGGCAGAAGGGCAGACTGGTTGGCCTTTCCAGTATGAGCTAGGCTTTTCCAGGGGTTAGCAGGTAGGAAAGGAAAGTTAAACACTAACAAGGCAGAAGGGGACAGGAGATCCCTTACAAAATAGGAATAGCAACTAAGAAACTGCTATAATGGGGGAATATGAATCTAAAACAGATGTATTGGGATATCACTCCCTCAATCCTGATCACCATCATCGTACAGTTAGAGGCAGCCAGCAGCAGGAGCGCCAGGCCTCCTGTGGAAGAGGCACAGGAGGCATTAAGATTCCTGCCACTTCCACCCTATAAAAGGGGATTTTCACTTCCATAAGTTAAAAGGCAGCTGCGAGTCTCTATGGTACAGGTCAGTCATTCATCTTTGCTGGGCACTTTAACAATCATTATGACCTCTAAGCTGTTGTAGCACCTAGCTGAGAGATAGCTCTTCTGAATAGTTTGTCACAGAAATAGTTTTCAGTGAACCTGGGCTAGAACAGCTACTGGTATGTGGAGCCATTGTGTAGATAAGGCCACTTGGTCTTTGGTGTACCTGAACTCCTGTATGTAATGAGTTAAGTAGTTTTAAAAAAAAAAAAAAATTACTGGTGGCCAACAGTCTAAGCACCTAGTGTTATCCAAAGTATCAATATTTGATATGTTTGAGGAAAGTCCAGTTAGAATTAACTGAAATTTGAGAGCCCTCCTTCAACCCCCCATCCCCAAACCCACATACCTAATTAGAGAAAACAATGCACGTTCTTGCAAACATAATTCAAAACAGCCACTGTGCCAGAAGAGTATTGCAGTGATCCCTAGACTGTCCCAAGCAGATGAACAGGGATTAACAGTCTTGAAATAGCTACAAGAGTATTTGTGGATGAGCAACTTGGATTGTCCACACTACCAAGGAATAACTGAGGCAGTCAAAGGCAACCCATGGCTAACAAAACAGAGGTTTCACTAACAGAGTCAGCATAGAAACAAAAAACAAAGCTACTGGAGGATACAAGCAGAACAGTCCATTATTTCTTCAAGACAGAGCAGGGGGGGACCCTGCAGAAGCTAAAGCATTGGTACATTAGGGCTTTTAGAGGTTGGTGATGGGACATTAAAGCTGGCTCACTAGAGATCTCCTGGGACAGCTTCCAGAATCTAATTATACACTACTGTAGTTTGTCAGAGTTCTTTCAATAGATGCAACTGTGTGTACGCAAATCACTGCCCTCCCTACCAGGAAAGCTGGAGGCACCCTTGCATGACATCAGGGAAATAAGATCTTTCCAGGAGTGCCTGGATGAGACAGTACACTAAACTATAATTTTTCTCTTTGTCTAGTGAATATCAGCACAGATTATTATTGAAGTGCTCCAAAAGTTTACACAACTCGATGGCTTGCGAGACTGCCACAGAAGAATGAGAGTTTTAACATAATAAACCTGGGGAGGAAGCCTCTTCTTATGGCCAAGGACTAAGCAGAACTCTTCAGAACCCAGCACCACCACTTAGAATGGAGCATGTTTATATTAAAATGGTTGCAGATCAATTTTTAGCTTCTTAAGGTTAGGATACACTGCCTAGGAGAGCATTAGCTCCTGTTAGGCTCAATTGGATGGATGCCACGCCTGGCATCCAAGTCCCCATCCACTGGGATGGAATTTCACCATACTGACTGTACCTAAATGCTTCAGTCCAAGAGTCTGAGCTACTAACTGGCTGAAAGCTTAAGAGTATTTTTTTTAAAATTGCTCACCACAAAGGGTCACTCCTCTTGCACCTATCTAAGCTACTGTCCCGCCGAATCCTGCACTGTCTAGCACATAAGAGTCTTCAGTTATTTCCATAAGCACCATAACTAACAGGTTTTACAGAAGTCTTGAACATCAAGATGTCCTGCATTTGGATTAGATGAGTCACTAAAGTCCCCACCTTCCCACCTAAAGTATCTGTCCCCATACAAGTGTCTGAAAACAAACCTCAGGACCCATAGATAAAGTTTCTGAGCTGACTCCATTAGTGAAAGTGAATGTTCCTAATAGAATGCAATGCTGGATTTGCCACCAGGGGGATTGAGGACTTTGTTGTGGGACCGTGGCCTTGGTCCCAGTCTGGGTTCATGATCATCTATCTTGGGGCCTGGCTCATCTTTCCCAAGATCTCTCTTCTCGCCTCTGTCTTCCATCTGTGGTTTGTTGTTTTCTGTAGCTGTGTGATGACAAGGGAGGTTAGAATGGTTACACTGCAGTGCAATAACATTACCTTTTATACACATCTTCAATAGTCTGTACATTCTTCCCTCCTTCCAACCCTCACATCCTTCCGCTCCCTTTATCTCCCCTCTTCACTTATGCTGTCCCGGCTCTGAACACTCTCTCTCTATCCCTGCACTTTTCCTGCTCAAGGCCTACTTCTTCCAAGACTCTCCTATCTTGTTCTCACCAATTATTTATTCCCCTCTTTAGACATCTTAGGTCATTACTTATTCTGTAGAGTGCTGTGTAAGATTATTATATACTGTAAAATGTTGACATCACACACTTATTACTGATAGTGTGCCAACCCATAAATGCTATGCCCTGCCAGGTAGGAGCTTCGAGCTCACAAGTACAGCTTACATTATGCTCTCACCTAGCAGAGAGTAATGGAGCAATAATGCATTCTGGGAAAATCAGTTACTTCATAGCTACAGTTGAGGAAGGCCAGAATTACAAGCTATGAATGCGGGAGAAGGAGGAACAGTTTACCACGATATTTTATATATAGAATAATTGCACATTCCCCCACTTAAATAAGGAGATCATTCCGCTCAAGATTCAGATACATTACACGAATAGCTCAACTGCTTGAGAGAGCTGCAGAAATGGGAGTTACATCTGAATTTGTTCAGTTAACTTGTGTCCTTGCTGCTTCAGAATGGGATGGTCCAAGTTGGCCCACCACATTCTAAGGGCTTGGGCTTAAGTACAAAAATAGTCTCCTATAAAAACAGACCGACCATCTAGGAGGGCAGGTATCAAGGAACACACTTCCCATATCTAGATATCAGCCTAGCATAGGGCCCACTTTCAATACCCTACCTAAAGTGACCCAGCTTAATAGAAGAAGTTGGATGGTTATTTCAGGATCACTTCCTATCATGTAACTGATACTGAAAGTCTGACTGCCCAGTTTGAAGTTCTATAGCCATGACCTTGCTTGACTGGGTTGTCCTGAAAACCAGGATTAGGCTTGTTTATTCTTCCTCTTTGCATACACAGGCCAAAATACTCTTCACAGCATCTCAGAGAAAGAGTTTTCTCTTGCCTTACCTTTCAGTTCCTTTGAAGCATCTCCTGCCTCTTGTAAGACAATGTGATCCTGCAATAAAATCAGAACTGTTTTAGGGCTTCATAGGCTATAGGTCAACTACTACTCCACTGCAAGCTTTTCTTAAATCTTAGACCAAAAGGATCCTTTACACCAAGACCATGCGATTTCTGCATTAAGAGCCAAATGCTGCAGCTTGCTCTCCATGAAGCCTCCTGCAATGGCATTGTGAAAGCAACTGTAGCATCAAGTTCTTTAAGGAGACAGTGATCCCTGTGACGGGTTTGGTCACAGAGATCCCCTTGGGACTGTCACCTGATGTGCTGAGACTACCTCTGAGCCAGTTTTCTCTGCCAGTTTGGGCCTTCAGAACCCTGCCTTGTTGAGCCAGACACGCAAGCCTGCTGCAACAAAGACGCAGGGTCTGAACCACACCCCCAAAGCTGCAGACTCATCTCAAAACAGCTTAAGAAGTGCTCCTGTCTCCAGCACCCAGACACCCAGCTCCCAATGGGATCCAAACCCCAAATAAATCCATTTTACTCTGTATAAAGCTTTATAAAGGGTAAACTCAAATTCTCTGCCCTCTATAACCCTGATAGAGATATGCACAGCTGTTTGCTCCCCCAGGTATTAACACAGTAATTAACAAAAGTGATTTTATTAAGTATAAAAAGTAGGATTTAAGTGGTTTCAAGTAATAACTTACTTTGTTCTGTTACCAAGCCAAATCAAATACACAAGTCTAAGCCTAATACATTAAGAAACTGAATACAGGTAAATCTCACCCTTGGAGATGTTCCAATAAGCTTCTTTCACAGACTGGACTCCTTCCTAGTCTGGGCCCAATCCTTTTCAGGCCAACATTGTAGTTTATGGCTTGGGTCCAGCAATCACTCACACCCCCGCAGTTACTGTCCTTTGTTCCAGTTTCTTTCAGGCATCTCTTTGGAGTGGAGAGGCCATCTCTTGAGCCAGCTGACGACAAAATGGAGAGGCTTTCAGGGCCTTTTACATTCTCTCTCGTGGGTGGAAACCCCTTGGTTCTTCTGTGCAAAAATCACAGCAACAAGATGGAGTTTGTAGCCACCTGGGCAAGTTGCATGTCCATGAATGATTCAGCTTTTTGCAGGCCGACGCCATTGTTTACATGTTAGTTTGAACGTTCCCAGGAAAGCTCAGGTGTGGATTGACATCTCCCAAAGTCTACTGTCAGTTAAGTGTTTCCTGATAGGACTATTCTGAGTAATTGCCCATTCGCAAGAAGCTGACCAAATGCTTCACTGATGCTACTTAGAATCAAACATTGAGATACAAGTACATAGCCAATATTCATAACTTCAAATATAAAAATGATACAGTCAGCATAATCATAACTAGCAAATTACAACCTTTTCATAGACACCTTACTTGCCCTCCTTTGTACAGGATTTGGTGCAACTCTAGGACCTTGGTTGCAACAATGAGAACAGTCACAGTTCATGTCAATAACGTCACACCCTCCTCCTGAACTTACTGCCAGAGACTTGGACACTGTCCATGGCATAGGCAGTACTTGTAAAATCCCTGTTTGTCTCTTGTCACACATTCTCCCAGTACCTTTAAACCCTATGATGTCATTTACAGGTGTTCTAGCAAGGTTTGGGGTTCCTGGTCCCCAGGTGCCTGAAAACATGTTGGGGTGTAGTATTGTTAACAGAATGCAGATCACAATATCTGTTAAAGGGTAGGTGTCTTGGCACTTAGCCACCAATGCCATGAGGTGGTGTGCCTCAGTTTCCCCTTCCACACAGCAGTGTAGACCTGTTATGCTTTTGCTGCTGTGCCAAGCTTTCAGCCTGTTTACAGGTACAAGCTGAAAAGCAACATGCTTGTGGGACTGTCTTGTCACCATCCTTGGCATGTACAAAAGTTTTCCCCACAAATCAGGTATGTCACACATCTTTAAAGGGTTTACCATTAGTATTAACTCCTTTGTCTTGACCCCTAGATGAAGTAGCAAAAGACGCAAGATTAACAGCAAATCTATGGCAGACAGGCTCTGTTCACACAATTTAGCTTGTTCAGTGTCTATTGCATTTCCCAATTCCTGTGTGTACCATGGTAGGGGTTTAGACACAGAGTCTCCCATCTCTTTGGAGAAGGCTCCCAATTCAGGCATGGGTTTGAGGATTTGGCAAGGAAATGGGTGCACTGCGACCATGCCTGCCCTCCACCCCTCCCTTGGGAATTTCTTTGGGTTGTACCCCACCCTCTTGTGAAGCTTCCAAAATGCAAAGTTTTGCTTCCCCCAGCCTTGAAGAGACAATGTTATCTTTTACAAGGGTAGCAGGAACAACGTTCTTTAATGGAGTGCTTTGGATTGGTAAGATCCCCTCTTTGTTCCCAAGAGGTCAGCTAGGTGGACTCTCCTCCAGGAGATCTAACCCCCAGTCTTCTCTCAAAACCCGATCCATAAGTGAGGGGTCTGGCATTTTAGATGCAGATCCTTCACCCTCCTCCTGGTGAAAAGCCTTCCTACAAAACGTGGGCAGACCCTCCTGTCCCCCCCTCACCTTCCGTCTGGACTTCCCTCTCTGGGCTCCCCTCTGAGGCTGACACTTCTGTGTCCCCCAGAAGGGAAGGTGACCCTGATCCAGCTGTGGGCTCATAGCTACCAGCTATGACAGACCCTTCACTGGCCAGCAAAATCCCCCCCTTTCACTCAGGTTGGGCTTGCTTCTAGCTACAGAGTCCTTGGGGTCTGTTCCCACCACAGCGGTTGTCAGGATCCAAACCTCCATCTCTGGGATACATGTCTCTGCACCGAAGGGCAGGCCCTATCCCCTGCTGACCTGCAGCTTCCGGCAGTCAGCAGCTGGGAACACCTCCCTGTTACAAGGTGGAACATCCCTCTCCCCTAAGGAGATGATTACAGGATAGGAGCTGGCTTTATCCAGCCCTTCCCACAGGGACCTGCCTTGAGCACCGGGGCGACAGGAACTGGTTATGACCATCCCAGAGCTACATTCTCCACTGCTACAGAGGAATTAAAGAGAGACACTCCTATTCCCCCAGCAGCATTTGTGACTTTAGCCTCCCCTCTGGGGCTTTCAGCACAAGATTCCTTCTTGCTGCTAACAAACCCTGGGACAGATTCTGCCACAAAGAATTCATCTCCCAGTAGAAAGGGTACAAAATTTTGTGCCTCTGCTGCAACAGTCAGTTCAGCCTGCAAATCACCAGTTTCCATGTGTACTTTAGCTGAAGCTGCAAGGACTTTGTAACCTCCCACCAATTCTAATTCTGCCATTTTCCCTGGTAACAAAATCCTTTTCCTGGATCAGGTACCTTCTGACCACAGAAATTTCTGCACTCTCCATCCTTGGAGCACTTTGCCATTAAGTTTAACAGCATGCATATGCTCACTGCTTGGTTGTGTAGAAGCAACCTTTACAAATCCTGTGTGGAAAGAGGCAGCAGCCTGGGACACCCCTGTGCTCTGAGAGGCAGCAGCTTCATGTGTTACCTGCTGCCTGTTCCCACTCAGCCAAGGACGTTTATTCCTCAGATGCTCAGTGGACTTACCACGATAGCACCTTTTGGGCTCCTCTGCTTGTACAGGAGATTTGGGACGAGTAGCAGGAATGGGGAGGTGAACACCCAGCCTCCTTTTTCCCTGGGGTAAAACGGTGATTCTGCTTTCCACCAACCCTGTACCCCTCTGTCAGTGGTTTATGTTTAATTGCAGCTTGTGACTGCTCGTAAGAGGGTCTTCAAACTCAGCTAATTCCCCCACTGCATTCATCTTTCTGTCCCACAAATACTGTTTTACATCACCACCGCACATATTCAGGAACTGTTCCTGAGTAATTAAAATCACACATTTCTTCAAAACAGTTAATGCCTTTTCCCCCCTCACCCACTTGTCTAACAAATCTTTCATTTTATTTACATAAGCCACATTACTTAATCCAGATCGCCTCTTAAGACTCCTGAATTTAACCCTGTAGGTTTCAAGTGTAATCTGAAACTATTTCAAAACCAGTTCCTTAAATTTACCATAGTTTGAAGCATCATCAATAGGCATCTTATTGAATACGTCCAGAGCTCTCCTAGTCAATTTTGCAACCAAAGTGGTCATTTTTTGATCTTCAGAAATCGCACGGAGGGTGCACAGTCTCTCAAAGGTGATGAAATATTCGGCAATATCACTGGATTCATCATACTGCCGACATAACCGCTCCCATTTATGGATTTTTGGGGATGTGGAGCCAGCTGCTTAAGGGATCTGTCTCTTCCACTACATTACAGCCAGTTCATGCTTCTGCGTCTCAATTTGGGCCTGTATTTCTCTGGTTTTTTTAACTCCAGGGCAGCTCAATTTGAGCCTGTTTCTGGGCCTCCATGGTTTCCCTGGCTGCAGCTGCTTCTTTGAGCCTCATTTCTGCCTGCCACATTTGAAACTCACGGTCCTTTGCCTTTTCTTCCGCTTCCAGTCTGGCCAGCTCTAGTTTTGTAGCTGCCTCACTGGTAGTCATTTTCCTGTTTTCTTGTGCTTATTTCCCTCACCCGAAATAAACAAAAAGATAAACCAGTAACCACTTCGTCTCTTCTCCGGCCACCACACTTAAAACTCACTTAAAATCGCAATCAGCTGTGCACAAATCCTGCTGACTACGCCACTGACAGGTTTGGTCACAGAGACCCCCTTTTGACTGTCACCTGATGTGCTAAGACTACCTCTGAGCCTGTTTTCTCTGCCAGTTTGGGCCTTTAGAACTCTGCCTTGTTGAGCCAGACATGCAAGCCTGCTGCAACACAGACCCAGGGTCTGAACCACGCCCCCAAAGCTGCAGACTTAAGCTGTTTTGAGTTAAGAAGTGCTCCTGTCTCCAGCACACAGCTCCCAATGGGATCCAAACCCCAAATAAATCCGTTTTACTCTGTATAAAGCTTTATAGAGGGTAAACTCAAATTCTCCGCCCTCTATAACACTAATAGAGAGATATGCACAGCTGTTTGCTCCCCCAGGTATTTATTAACAAAAGTGATTTTATTAAGTATAAAAAGTAGGATTTAAGTGGTTTCAAGTAATAACTTACTTTGTTCTGTCTGTTACCAAGCCAAATCAAACACACAAGTCTAAGCCTAATACATTAAGAAACTGAATACAGTACTCTGAGATGTTCCAATAAGCTTCTTTCACAGACTGGACTCCTTCCTAGTCTGGGCCCAATCCTTTTCAGGCCAACGTTGTAGTTTATGGCTTGGGTCCAGCAATCACACACACCCGTAGTTACTGTCCTTTGTTCCAGTTTCTTTAAGGCATCTCTTTGGAGTGGAGAGGCCATCTCTTGAGCCAGCTGACGACAAAATGGAGAGGCTTTCAGTGCCTTTTATATTCTCTCCCTTTTGTTCTTCTGTGCAAAATCACAGCAACAAGATGGAGTTTGTAGCCACCTGGGCAAGTCACATGTCCATGAATGATTCAGCTTTTTGCAGGCCGACGCCACTGTTTACATGTTAGAACGTTCCCAGGAAAGCTCAGATGTGGATGGACATCTCCCAAAGTCTACTGTCAGTTAAGTGTTTCCTGATAGGACTATTCTGAGTAATTGCCCATTCTCAAGAAGCTGACCCAATGCTTCACTGATGCTACTTAGAATCAAACATTGAGATACAAGTACATAGCCAATATTCATAACTTCAAATATAAAAATGATACACACAGTCAGCATAATCATAACTAGCAAATTACAACCTTTCCATAGACACCTTACTTGACCTCCTGTATGTCATACCAAGACAACTCACAGAAGCAAGATACAGCAATAGACCATTAGATACATAAGACTTTCTACCTTTGGATCTATATCCATTCTAGACTATTATCTTGCAAGACTCTTTCTACAAGTACCCACTGGCACCGAAAAATAGCAGGAAGTGTTCAGACCCAGAACAGCAAGCTCTTCAGTGCTCCAGTGGGTGTCTCAGCAATAAACGCATGCTCAGTGAAGTATCCAGAGTAATTTGAATTACTGCGTCAGATGAGCCTAAGGACAGTTTTCACCCACCCTCCCTGACCCATTTTCAGATTTAGGAATCAGCTGTGATGAGCAAGCATGGCTTCAAAGGATCTCCTCACACCAAGACTGCTGTAGTCAAATCAATACAATTCATTAAAGTGCCTAGTACATCAAATCATTATGGTTCTACTGTTTCTATGATAGTTTCACCCCCAGCAGAAAGGGCTGGGATGAAAATGACATTAAAAGTAAAAAAATCTTTTAACCACCTCTTTAAAGACAGCATCACATTACCCAACAGTGTAAATTCTCTCAAGCCAGTACTCAAGCATTTCTCAATCATTGAGGTGTGAGCTTAAAGTAGGTTGCAAGAGGAGACACATACTGGGCTGCATGCTCTGAGGGTGAGCAACTGACTAGAATTCTACCTAAAACCCAACAGAATGATTTCATCCCCCTCCTCTTGCTGCTCCCACTGCATCCCTGCTCCATCCCAAATTATAATGGTCCATGCAGCCCTCCCCACATCCAGCGCTAAGTTCCAGGGCTAGGTGAAATTGTGTTTCTAGAGAGTGGAGCCAACTTCACAGCAGTGCTACCCCAGAGCTATCCAATGCAGAGGGTAGGAAGAGAAGCAAAACACACCTCCTCTAAAGTAACACCAGACCCCTGAGCAGGCATACATCCAGCCCTCAAAATTCTCAGTTTCTTCCTATGACCCAAATCCCAGAATCCCTTGGAGTCAATACAGGCAGGACTGCATAAGAAGTTGGGACAAAGAATATTACTTCTGACTCCTGCCTCAAGTTTAGTTCTATGTTCTTAATTTAGATTCTAGTAACATTGGTCAACTAGAACTTTAGAAGCAATAAAGCTACCACCATCAGTTTCCCTTCAGCAGAAATTTTAGTGGAGCACAGGTTCCATTAACACTACTGCTTAATAGACAGTATGTTTCCAAGACTCTCCACTTGTCAAGAACTTTGCCAGTATAATGGCGGACTCACTCAGTGGTGCAGTTTCAACTTAAGGAAAGAGTTAACCAGCCAAGATGCAGGAGCCAATCTACTATGCAAGAACATGGTACATAAGTGGCAAATATTTACATTCTTGTTTCCCCCCAGAAGAATGTTCGCTCATAGCTATGACCTTGTGTCTAATGTGATTATGCAGCCAAGTAAATTGCCACATAGTAGTCCTATGACTGCAACAACTGTGCACCAGAATCTAAGCTTCTGTACACAAAAACAGGTCTCTAACCATTGTTGTTGAGAACCTCAAAAATGAAAATATAAACCAATATATTGACATGTGCTTGAATCTGCAGATAGTGTGAAATAAGGGGGTGTTGGGATTAAAGCTTAATGGAGGGTAAGGCTGACATTAAAATTAGCTATTTCATTGCTGATCATTTTAGTAGAAAGTCAAATGAATGTTGTTGTGTATATTGAGATAGGATGCAGAAGGCAGCTAGTTTATGTCAAGCCTTGTGAAGGTGAATAAATAGTAAGGAATTCAGCACCTCCCAAATTTGAAGTCAGCAACCCCATTGAAAAAGCAGCAAGGAGATCCATCTCCTTCCAATTCAAAAAGCCTGAAATGCCTCCTGGTGGTCAGAAGACAGCCTCCTACAGCTTATCTGGATGACAGAAGCACCAGTTCTCCTGTATCCAACTGCAAAAGCTTTCGGCTTCCCCCTCATACCTCCACAGTGCAACTGTATATTTTTACGTACAAAAATCTGCAACACACTGAGAACTGATGCAGCATAAGTGAGTTTACTATCAAAAGTAACAAGGGATCCTTGACTAGAAGAGGGTTGTGGAGGCAGTGCTGACTAATTTGGGGTTTCCTGAGGCATAATGTAGGATTAACATGCCACATAGTACATAGGAGCCTTGTTCAGAACATTAGCTCTACCAGATTATAGCAAGCCCTCTTAGCAATTTGTTTTAAACCATTTTCACAGCCACAGCAGTACAAATACCTTGGGTTTGTTTGGGTGTGCTCGAACAGGGCTGGCAGGTACTGGAGACCCAAAGATATCACTTGTCTTCCCACCAGGCGGATTCATGCATTGACGAGACTGGACAGGGCTAGGATCCTCAAAGATACCACTTCCTTTCCCCCCTGCAAGGTAATTAACAGTTACTTGGAAAAGGGTTTTAACTGTTTTGTATTCTTCCCTTATAACTTTCTTTAAAACGTTAACTAAGATGTGATTAAAAACAGTCAAATATCCAAGTTTGAGGTTTTCAGTATCACTAACTGAATCTGTACCTTAAGTCCAGAAATCTTAGAATTTTGCTTACTACAATATCCTGAAAATACTTAAGACTTTTGTCACCAGAATTCAGAAAAATCTTGGATTTACATCTGTTAGATAGAGCTGACGTAGTTTCTTTGTGTATGTCACCATTTCAGCTGGAAAAGTCTCTGGAATGGATCCTCCAAGTGTCTCTCCCCCCTGCCCACCTCCCCGACACTACATGGTGGCTACATTAGGAAAGAGATCTCCAATTCTCTAGTAGGATTGGGCAACCTGGTGGTATCATACCTATGCTATAGCTTAGGCCAAAAAACTACAGGCCTGAGTTCTGCCAATGCAGACACAGACTTAGACATCATACAGTAGTTACTGTATAGTCTTGAGCACTTGCATCTCAATGGCTGCAAACAGGCAGGGCTAGAAAGTTGCCTATGGTTTAAAAAAAAAATTTTTTTTAAATAATTATTTTTTTTAAACCAAGAACTTCTAGTAAAGTCCAATGTAGCAATCTAACTTTACATGCCATTCTAATTCATGCTTTGTTCAATTCTGTACAGTAATTTCACTTCAAACAGTAAGTTTTCATCAGTGGTTTGTATAGTTAATAGCTGCCATATTGGACTAATGGTAACTATTTACCTAATGCCCCATATTTCACTGCTGGCAAGCTTATCACCACTAAAACTATCCATGTAACGAAAGCTCACACTAAATATGCAAGCAGAAACATCACCCTCGTGTACATTTACACAGTGCAATATCAATTCTATTTCAAGCATAAAAATGGCTACTTCAAGGTTCTTATAAGGGCTGGTCTACACTGCCGCGCTAGTTCGGCGGCTGGGGATCGAAGTTCCGAGTTCGATTTATCGCGTCTGGTCTGGACGGGATAAATCGAACCAGGAAGTGATCCCCGTCGACTGCGGTACCCCAGCTCAACGAGAGGAGTACCGCGGAGTCGACAGGGAGCCTGCCTGCCGCGTGTGGACCGCGTCTGAACCGCGGTAAGTTCAAAGTAAGGTATGTCGAATTCAGCTACGTGAATAACGTAGCTGAATTTGCGTACCTTACTTCGACTTGGGGGGTAAGTGTAGACCAAGCCTAAGTGGGCAGAGTAATCTCATTGCTGCCTACAGGCAGAAAAAAGTCTACCAAAACTCTTATCCCACATTAGCTTTGTTCAATGTTTTAAGTCCTTTAAGCCTAGCGGGTAGATTAATGATTTCCCCAATCCCTATATTTAATAAAGTCAGCCTGATGGCTCATCAGGAGAAAAAGTACTCTATTTTACAGCACAAAGTTCAGTTTAGAGCTAAACTCAGCACTCATGATTGAATGTTCCCTGATTGGGTTTAGTGCGCAAGCTCAATCAGCTAGCAGCAGTGTATAGTTTACAGGGACAGCAAAAATTGCTGTTGCATTGATATTTACCTGCTACATTGCTCTAGGATACTGAGCTGGAACATGAACATTGTACAAGAACCAAATACATCTTCCAACCCAGAATCAGATATACCTCTTCTCAGTGGTTTCCCTAAAGAAACTGGTGTTCTCACCTGGAGGGTATGTTCTTTTTGGAAAGTTCTGTGGTTCCTCAGCTGCTCCAAAGATGCTAGATGCCATTCTGTGTGGTCTGCTGGAAGAGGAAACTTCTTCTGTGCTCCCAAACAGATTACTAGAGCCTCCTCCAGGGGGTTTCAATACTCTGTTGCAGAACATTAACAGTTACTGACAGATGCCAACTTATTTGAAGTCTACTGCATTCAGCATGTTTGCCACATTCCTCCCCATCCCCAAAATTAAGATTAAATTTGGTTAAAGTGCTCAATTTTTTATACTACATAATTTGGGATTAGCAGACCAGAGTTAGGAATACTGTGTGCAGGTCTACCATTAAAATTCACATACTTGTCTGGTTGTCAAGGACCAAACTATAACAAACATTTGTAAGTCAACATTGAGCAGTAGTGGGGTGCCATATCTGCCTCTTCCAGAATATAAAATGTTCAGAATGTTATTCTAGTAATTAGTTTGACGGTTTGATACAGATACTAGTTCTGGCCTGAATATAATCCCTTTGTGACCTTATACGACTGTAATAATTCCAGCCTGAAGGGTTACATTCCAGAACTTGGACATAACCCTCATGTTAATACACAGCAACATTTCCTTTGGCTTGACATTTTCTTGTATAAAAGTGTAGATTTATCTGTAGTTTCCACTTGAGCAAAGCAAACTTAGAGATAGTAAGCAAATGAAGGAAGATTGATATACTTGCTAAAGCAAGATTAGAGTCAGCCCTATGTTAGAGTGCTTTCCCTTTACCCTCCCACTTCCCTGGTTCTTGTCACACAGACAGCAAGCAGCAAAAGACCAGAAGTCCGAAGTACAGACAATGCGATGTTTATTGGGGTCAATTTCTAGCAAGCATAAGAACAGCTATACTGGGTCAGACCAAAGGTCCATCCAGCCCAGTATCCTGTCTTACCGACAGTGGCCAATACCAGGTGTCCCAGAGGGAGTGAACCTAACAGGTAATGATCAAGTGATCTCTCTCCTGCCATCCATCTCCACCCTCTGACAAACAGAGGCTAGGGACACCATTCCTTACCCATCCTGGCTAATAGCCATTAATGGACTTAACCTCCATGAATTTATCTAGTTCTCTTAAACCCTGCTATAGTCCTAGCCTTCACAGCTTCCTCAGGCAAGGAGTTCCACAGGTTGACTGTGCACTGTGTGAAGAAGAACTTCCTTTTATTTGTTTTAAACGTGCTGCCCATTAATTTCATTTGGTAGCCCCTAGTTCTTATATTATGGGAACAAGTAAATAACTTTTTCTTATTCACTTTCTCCACCACTCATGATTTTATCATATCCCCCCTTAGTCTCCTCTTTTCCAAGCTGAAAAGTCTTGGACTCTTTAATCTCTCCTCATATGGGACCTGTTCCAAATCCCTAATCATTTTAGTTGCCCTTTTCTGAACTTTTTCCTAATGCCAGTATATCTTTTTTGAGATGAGGAGACCACATCTGTATGCAATATTCAAGATGTGGGAGTACCACGATTCCTGCATTAGTAAGAGCATTGCCAGCAGATCGAGGGAAATGATTATTCCCCCTCTATTCTGGTGAGGCCATATCTGGAATATTGCATCCAGTTTTGGGGCCCCCACTACAGAAAGGATGTGGACAAATTGGAGGGAGTCCAGCAAAGGGCAACGAAAATGATCAGGGGGCTGGGGCACATGACTTATGAGAAGAGGCTTGAGGAAACTGGGCTTGTTTAGTCTGTAAAAGAGAAGAATGAGGGGGGATTTGATAGCAGCCTTCAACTACCAGAAGGGGGGCTCCAAAGAGGATGGAGCTCAGCTGTTCTCAGTGGCGGCAGATAAAAGAACAAGAATCATAGAATATCAGGGTTAGAAGATGACTTCCTGAGGTCCCTAGTCCAACCCCCTGCTCAAAGCAGGACCAATCCCCAACTAAATCATCCAAGACAGGGCTTTGTCAAGCCAGGCCTAAAAAACCTTTAAGGAATACTATTCCACCACCTCCCTAGGTAATCCATTCCAGTGCTTCACCATCCTCCTAGTGAAAAAGTGTTTCCTAATATCCAACCTAAACCTCCCCCACTGCAACTTGAGACCATTACTCCTTGTTCTGTCATCTGCTACCAGTGAGAACAGTCTAGATCCATCCTCTTTGGAACCCCCTTTCAGGTAGTTAAAAGCAGCTATCAAATCCCCCCTCACTCTTCTCTTCTGCAGACTAAACAAGCCCAATTCCCTCAGCCTCTCCTCGTAAGTCACGTGCTCCAGCCCCCTGATTATTTTCGTTGTCCTCCCCTGGACTCTCTCCAATTTGTCCTCATCCCTTCTGTAGTGGGGGGACCAAAACTGGATGCAATACTCCAGATGAGGCCTCACCAATGCCGAATAGAGGGGAATGATCACATCCCTCGATCTGCTGGCACTTATACAGCCCAAAATGCAGTTAGCCTTCTTGGCAACAAAACTCATATCCAGCTTCTTGTCCACTGTAATCCCTAGGTCCTTTTCTGCAGAATTGCTGCCTAGCCATTCGGTCCATAGTCTGTAGCAGTGCATGGGATTCTTCTGTCCTAAGTGCAGGACTTTGCACTTGTCCTTGCTTAACCTCAGATTTCTTTTGGCCCTATCGTCTAATTTGTCTAGGTTCCTCTGTATCCTATCCCTATACTCCAGCATATCTACCACTCCTCCCAGTTTAGTGTCATCTGCAAACTTGCTGAGGATGCAATCCACGCCATCCTGCAGATCATTAATGAAGGTATTGAACAAAACCGGCCCCAGGACTGACCCTTGGGGCACTCTGCTGCCAACTAGACGTGGAGCCATTGATCGCTACCCGTTGAGCCCAATGATCTAGCCAGCTTCTATCTACCTTATAGTCCATTCATCCAGCCCATACTACTTTAACTTGCTGGCAAGAATACTGTGCGAGACCGTATCAAAAGCTTTGTTAAAGTCAAGGAATAACACATCCACTGCTTTCCCCTCATCCACAGAGCCAGTTATCTCATCATAGAAGGCAATTAGGTTAGTCAGGCATGACTTCCCCTTGGTGAATCCATGCTGACTGTTCCTGATCACTTTCCTCTCCTCTAAGTGCTTCAAAATTGATTCCTTTAGGACCTGCTCCATGATTTTTCCAGGGACTGAGGTGAGGCTGACTGACCTGTAGTTTCCCAGATCCTCCTCCTTGCCTTTTTTTTTTTTTTAAAGATAGGCACTACATAAGCCTTTTTCCAGTCATCCAGGACCTGCCCTGTTCGCCATGGGTTTTCAAAGATAATGGCCAATGGCTCTGCAATCACATCCGCCAACTCCTTTAGCACCCTTGGATGCAGTGCATCCATCCCCATGGACTTGTGCTCATCCAGCTTTTCTAAATAGTCCTGAACCACTTTTGTCCACACAGGGCTGGTCACCTCCTCTCCATACTGTGCTGCCTAGTGCAGTAGTCTGGGAGCTGACCTTGTTCGTGAAGACAGAAGCAAAAAAAAAAAAAAAAAAAAAAAAAGCATTGAGTACATTAGCTTTTTCCACATCCTCTGTCACTAGGTTGCCTCCCCCATTCAGTAAGGGGCCCCACACTTTCCTTGACCTTCTTCTTGTTGCTAACATACCTGAAGAAACCCTTCTTGTTACTCTTAACATCCCTTGCTAGCTGCAACTCCAAGTGTGATTTGGCCTTCCTGATTTCACTCCTGTATGCCTGAGCAATATTTTTATACTCCTCTCTGGTCCCCAGTCTTCCACTTCTTGTAAGCTTCTTTTTTGTGTTTAAGATCAGCAAGGATCTCACTGTTAAGCCAAGCTGGTCGCCTGCCATATTTACTATTCTTTCTACACATCGGGATGGTTTGTTCCTGCAACTTCAATAAGGATTCTTTAAAATACAGCCAGCTCTACTGGACTCCTTTGCCCCTCATGTTATTCCCCCAGGGGATCCTGCCCATCAGTTCCCTGAGGGAGTCAGTCTGCTTTTCTGAAGTCCACGGATCCTATTCTGCTGCTCTCCTTTTTCCTTGTGTCAGGATCCTAAACTCAACCATCTCATGGTTACTGCCTCCCAGGTTCCCATCCATTTTTGATTTCCCTATTAATTCTTCCCTGTTTGTGAGCAGCAGGTCAAGAAGAGCTCTGCCTGTAGTTGGTTTCTCCAGCACTTGCACAAGGAAATTGTCCTCTACACTTTTCAAAATCTTCCTGGATTGTCTGTGCACTGCTGTATTGCTCGCTCAGCAGATATCAGGGTGATTTAAGTCCCGCACGAGAACCAGGGCCTGTGATCTAGTAACTTCTATTAGTTGCCTGAAGAAAGCCTCGTCCACCTCATCCCGCTGGTCTGGTGGTCTATAGCCGACTCCCACCATGACATCAGCCTTATAGACTCATAGACTTTAAGGTCAGAAGGGACCATTATGGTCATCTAGTCTGACCTCCCGCATGATGCAGGCCACAAAAGCTGACCCACCCACTTTCCCTTAACTCAGCTGTTGAAGTCTCCAGATCGTGATTTAAAGACTTCAAGTCACAGAGAATCCTCCAGTTTGCGACCCCTGCCCCATGCTGCGGAGGAAGGCGAAAAACCTCCAGGGCCTCTGCCAATCTACCCTGGAGGAAAATTCCTTCCCGACCCCAAATATGGTGGTCAGTATAACCCCAAGCATACAGGCAAGATTCTCCAGCCGGACCCTCATTTTACCAGCGATGGCACGTTATTGCCTAATTGACTAAATTGACTTGTTGCTCACACTTCTAAACTTAATCCAGAGACTCTCAGGTTTTTCTGCAGTTTCATACTGGAGCTCTGAGCAGTCATACTGCTCTTTTACATACAATGCAACTCCCCCCACTTTTTTTGCCTTGACTCTCCTTCCTGAACAGTTTATACCCATCCATGACAGTACTCCAGTCATGTGAGTTATCCCACCAAGTCTCTGTTATTCCAATCACATCATAATTCCTTGACTGTGCCAGGACTTCCAGTTCTCCCTGTTTGTTTCCCAGGCTTCTTGCATTTGTGTATAGGCACTTAAAATAACTCGCTGATCATCCTGCTTTCTCCATATGAGGCAGGAGTCCTCCCCTCTTGCACTCTCCTGCTCATGATTTCTCCTGGTGTCCCACTTCCCCACTTACCTCAGGGCTTTGGTCTCCTTCCCCCGGTGTACCTAGAAGCAATGGTCTCAAGTTGCAGTGGGGGAGATCTAGGCTGGATATTAGGAAACACTATTTCACTAGGAGGGTGGTAAAGCACTGGAATGGGTTACCTAAGGAGGTGGTGGAATCTCCATCCTTAGAGGTTTTTAAGGCCCGGCTTGACAAAGCCCTGGCTGGGATGATTTAGTTGGTGTTGGTCCTGCTTTGAGCAAGGGGTTGGACTAGATGACCTCCTGAGGTCTTTTCCAACCCTAATCTTCTATGATTCCAATTTTCCCACCCACTTCCTGTTTGACTCCAGTTTGTATAGTAATATTCTCAGCTATACTTTAACCAATCATTTTACTGAAATTGAACTAACCAATCCTAACGTATTGTAACATAATTCTCTAACCAATTATATCCCACTATCCTAATTAACTTACACCTAGCAAAATTAATTATACAGCAGACAGAAACAATTAGAGAACCAGACAGGTTAACAATAGAAAAGTGAGGGCCATAAAGATAAAACAATACAGAAATGAGGGTTTCACAACCACAATCATTGATAAGTGATTTCTTGCCAGACAGGATGCTATCAAACTAAGTTTTCTTTAACCATCTTAAGATCTGTTTCTTTATCTGGTGGTGATGGGCACCATCAAGACAAGATCGTCTTCTTAACAGCCACATACCACCTTATTTCAATGTGACTGGATTGGAATGTGAGGATGTGACCGTACGCTTCCCAGCTTATGGCTGCCCCTGCTGCTTAGCCAAAGGCCTTAGCCTAAGAACAAGGCCTCTGACTTTCCCAGTGAGAGAAGGCCCATAGACAGGCACACTTGTGATTCTGATTCTTTGTTTTATACCTCTATAAACTAGCTAAGTGATACAAATACACTTAAGTTCTTAAAGTACAGGCAGGCCTGAATATCTATATTCTAATCCTGAGCTGATGGTGTCAAATTTGCAGATGAACAAAGAGAAACTGCTGAACTTCAGTTCATCTGCAAATTTGACACCATCAGCTCAGGATTAAACAAAGACTGTGAATGGCTATCCAACTACAAAAGCAGTTTCTCCTCCCTTGGTGTTCACACCTCAACTGCTAGAAGAGGGCCTCATCCTCCCTGATTGAACTAACCTCGTTATCTCTAGCCTTACTCACTCTTGCTTGCATATTTATACCTGCTCCTGGAAATTTCCACTACATGCATCCGAAGAAGTGGGTATTCACCCATGAAAGCTCATGCTCCTATACGTCTGTTAGTCTATAAGGTGCCACAGGACTCTGTTGCTTTTACATATCCAGACTAACACGGCTACCCCTTTGATACTTGACTTCCTACAGAAAGAAAATGTTATCAGGTTCATAATCAATTCTAATTAGGCAGGACAGATCAGTCTGTTACTTTTTTGCACTATTCTCTACTACCACTGAGATGACTAGTAAGCAGCCAACCAAAAATGCAGTAGTCGGTCAGCACACTTGGCTCTTATGAGAGCCATAAAATTCTTAAGAGTGCTTCAGCTGCCCGGATGTTGTTCCCTTTTCCGCTTCAACTCCCACAACAGCTAGTTCTTTGAATGGAAGCTTCCAATACCGGATGTTTATGACAAAATGCAACATCTTTAAACCAGACCTCCAGCTTTACTATCTTTCATCATACCCAAGGAATTTTTATTACTCATTAAATACTGCTTGCTAAGTTACAGCTTTTTAGTCCAGTAAGCAAGTAGGGGTTTTACTAAATACCTACTCCCAGAGAAACACAATGTTCTTCTGCTCTGCCATTATTGATTTAGAAGTGGCATCTTTGTGTTCCAAATCAATACACACCAGTCAGAGCAAGACTTTAGCTGCCAGGAGAAGAGAAGACAAGTAATGTGCAAAGCAAAAAATAAATTAGTTCTAAAGGAAACTGAAGTTGGCACACACAGTTTTGTTGAAGATGCATAAGACAGAGCAGCACAGAACTACTATTTCTGCAGCACCAAAAGCTAACCAGGAATGATGATTCAAAATGTACGGTAAAAAAGGTACTAAGTCATTCTTTGCCATAACTGCTTTTAAAATGATAAATCTGTCATTTGGATATTCTTTTGTCTCTGTTACTTTAAAGATGATTTAACAATGTGTACATTGCTATAGCAATCCAGGTGACGGTGAAGAACCGTCCCTGAAGTAGGTTTCTTGACTGGAAAATTACTCAGCCAGCAGCTTTAATATGAAAAGTTTTATAATGGTATTCAGTGTGCCCCATTGCATAGTGTGATTTTTAGTAATTTCATACAAAGAGTAGTTTTTACCTCCTTTTAGAGGCTTGCTGTATTACAGAGAGTCTGTGTTAAGAGGATTTATTTTGCCATGCTTCCAGATGTTGATGATTGATTTTGAATTAGGCACACAAATAAAACAGGCCTCTAAACATGACAATTGCAAAGGGTATCTGTATTATCAATGAATAAATTGTCAGCATGCTGACTAGAATAAGTGTTGGGGGAAAAGTTCCATATGACTAGTGATGTGAATTCTTCTAAAAGCACCATTTGTTCATAGATACAGGAACCATCTCAGAGACCACAATACAGCAACAGGGCATAGATCCAATATATGATGCACTGCAGCATTAGCAAATCAGATGCCTGCCTTATTTGAAGATCCACTCAAATAAATGTTAGTGTTACTGTATACAACAGCTGAAGATTTTGCCTTCCAAACGCAGTGTAAACACTGCCACGATACAGATTGTTCCTGCAACCACAGCTTCATGGTTTCCTATTAGAAGAGTTCATCCCTACAGTCCAGACTCCATGCAATACAGCCTATGAGTTATGAAGAAAACAGTTCCCAAGCTGCCAAAAGTGAAAACAGAAAACTCTTCAGGGGTTATACTGAGTGTGCAGTTTTCATGGCAGCCCTTCAAAATTCAAGTTATAGCTTATTTTGGACTTTGAAAGTTAGATAAACTGAAAGGGGCCTCATAATTTCATAACTTTCTTTAAAAAGAAACTTGAACTGCAAATTCAAAAGTAAAACTAGTCTCCTTCCATCATATCACAGAGCCACGTGGCCCCATTGAGAAGGAAGGAGGAGTGCAGACACATTGTAAGGGTATTTGCTCATAAAGAAACCCAACAGCCACTTAAATAAAGCTTGTTGCTGCACGGGATCTCTGCAAAGACATATACAGTACCAAACAGCATGATCCAGTTCCCTTCCGGAAGCCAACCTAAGTTAGCCCTGTAGTGGGAAGTGGCACCAGGTAGCCTGGCCCTTCTTCCAGGACTAGAAACCTTCCTGGGAGCCAGCGAGATACAGACCATCTGACTCTCCTCCCAGCAGTGTAATTCTCCATGGAAAGACTCCAGCAAGGAGTGGGGTGTGGATTCCTAGTCACTGACTCTCACATACCCAGCACCGCCAAAGCCTGGTAGTAATCCGGGCAGTCAGGAGAGACGGAACTTTCTCCAGCACACCGAATACGTGTTTACACTGTCCAGCACAATAGGGCCCCATTCCATATAGCAGCCTCGAGATGCTACCGTAATCTGAACTACTGGAGCTTCCCGTCCTCCTCCCACCGCACGCCCAGGCCAGCGCACTGCAGGCAGCCATAGAGGGTAAGCGCCCGGCCCCTTTAAACGAGAGCGAGCACTCACCTCGCCCCCTCCAAGCAGCCCTTTGGGACCAGCCAGAGACACTGAGGAAGAGGAAGGGGAAGGGCAAGGTCACCCCGCCCTGCCCACGGTCACACGCAGGAGCCCGAGGAACAGAACCCAGGCGTCCTGCCTCCGCCCCTGGCGGTGGGGGGAGGGTAACACCCAGATAGGGAAGGGGGATATGGGCGCAGTCCCCGGAGCGACCCCGCAGCCTACGCCCGCCCAGGAGGAGGCCTCCCCAGTCCCCAGGGCCGCTTCCCGCCGCCACCGCGGGGCAGAAGCCTGCGCTCCCTGAGCCCCGCCCTGGGGAAGGCCCTGCCGCCAGCCACCGCAGGTACCTAGAGCTGGGCTTGGCGGACTCGGCCTCCGGCCCCTGGAACATAGCAGCAGCGAGCCAAGAGATCGTAAGCTGCTGACTCGGCTCCGCGGCTGCCTCTGACTGGCTGAGCTCGTTCCGGCCGCCTAGACAACAGGTAGCGCCCCGGCCCGCCCTGCTAACCCATTGGCTGGCCTGTCCGCCAATCACGTCGAGCAGCCTACCACAGGCAGCACACTCCCACAGGTACACGCCCACGCGACCTGGGTGGGAAGCTTTAAAACACCCGCTTCGTGGCTCACCCTGTCCCCCTGCCCATTGGAGCAGTCACCTGCCATTCAGGAAAAGCCGCGTGGCCATTGGGCAAAGTGTGGGGCTAGGACCAGGAGCGCAACCCTCGATATTTAACGGGACAGGTCTAGGCACTTCCCCCCTTCTCTGTTCATTAAGGAAGGCCTGTCCCTAGGATTCGTCCCCAGCCTGCCCAGGCCAGGGGATCTGGAGCCACGTTGGGCCCTAGATACAGGAGACACCAGGTGGATCAGGTGATATCTTTTGTTGGACCAACTTCTGCTGGTGACCAGGACCGGCTCAAGGCAGCAGCAAAGCAAGCATGTGGTTGGGGGAGGCATTCCGGCCATCCATTTTTTTCGGAAAAATCAACCAATATACAGGGAAAAAATATCTGAAGATCAAAAAAATCTCGAATAGTGCGATAGGAGTGTGACGTGAAAAATATCATCTCACGTCGTGACACAGTCACTCATAATGTGAACGTGCGTAAATGTGTAAACGTTAACGGTTATTAATTAAATCAGAAATCATGATTACTTGTGTGTACTGTGCCGCCCTATTGGTGCCATTCGTGCCAATTTCCGTGACGCGTTGGTGCCAGTGGTTATAGGGCTAAAATGCCGGGACAAAAATGACTTTCCAGCTACAAAGAGAGAAACGGCGAAAAGAATTAGAAAAACTCTCTCGTACTTCAAATAAGTATTTTAAAAAAGTCGACAATCAAGGAGAAAGCTCTAAGCACTGCATTGAAAGTGATTATTCATCAACTGATGAAGACCAATCGAACCGAAGATTATCTTTATCAACTGCTAAAGATGAACAACAATCCGATCAAAGATTATCTTCACTAACTGATAAAGACGAACAATCACAATCCATCCAAATTTACTTCTTCAGCTGAAGAGTCCAGAAACGAAGAACTGTTATCCAAATCTAAAACTGAAGAACAATTGTTAGAAGGTAGAGAGACTGACATAGGATCAGATCCAAGTACATGGCCGACAATAATTACTGATGCAATGCTAATGATTATTGTGAAACACGTCCTTCAAAACTAGATCCTACATTTGAATATCCATTTAATGAGTCGAATCGTCGATTTATGCCATCCAGTATGAAGAAAAAAAATGAAAAATGGCGAACAAATTAACAGATCGTGGTTAGTGTATTCACAGATCAAAGATGTAGTTTTTTGTTTTTGCTGACTACAAATTCTCTGTTTTCATTTTTTTTTTAAATTTTAAATGGTAAAAAAAAATAAAATTGCAAAGTGCACACGTGTAAAAGCCACAAAAAAGAGGGGGAGGGGGCAGCCAAATTTTTTTTTTTTACTTGTGGTGGCAAAAAACCTAGAGCCGGCCCTGCTGGTGAGAGACAAGTTCTGGGTAGCTGGAAGCCTTGTTTCTCTGGCACCAGCAGAAGTTGGTTCAATAAACGATATTGCCTCACCCATTGTATTCCTAATATCCTAGGTGAGGCCCAGATCCTAGCCAGGCCTGCTTGGGCCAAGGCAAGGCCCGCTGAAGCACCTCTAAGGCTGCCCCCACCCATCCCAGTTGGGCCTACTCCTTCAGTGGCAGTTGATGTTGTTCCATCCCTAACAGGGTTAGTAAAGAAGGTGTGACAGTGTACCCCATAAGGCTTTATGGGGAAGGGGTGCTTATAAATGTATGTATGACATAACTGGAATATGTTTTGTG